TCAAAAAACACCAAATACCCCCTCTCTTAACCAAGATAGTTTATTACTATTTTACTAAAGTGTTAATTTCAATCAAGTCTGCTCTCCCTATAGATAAGATTTACTGACTTGTGCAATCATACAATTGCCCCTGCTTTCTGGTGTCACCTGAGTTAGAGTGAACTCCTGCAACCTGAGATCCTCCTCCAAATTGCCCAAATCCTCTAATAGGTTCTTTCTAACACCCTGTTACTGAAACACTCACTCCACAGTTTCCCGCAGTATGTGTTTTCCTTCCCTACACAGAATAATAAACCCAACCTGACAACTATGGATATAGTCTTTGGTCGAAGAGCACTGACATGTTCTACTGTCTAGAATACTCTTTCTCAGACCTTTTTATGGCCTTTCTCTTAGATCATTTCATTCTTTGCTCAGACATCACCATTTCAAAGGGGCCATACCTGACCACACTATGATAGTGCCCTCATCATTCTCCATCCTTTTATTTTTTTCACTGCTTATTTTTCATTGTAGAATTTATTAATGTCTGATATTATATCAAGTATTTAAATTAAAATGTAAATACATCTTTATTGTATGTCCCTCCCATTAGCATGTTTCATGAAGACTGGGACTGTAAGCTAATTATATCCACAGTGGCTAGAACATTGCCTGGCACAGAGTAGATACTAAATGATATGCTTTTAATATATATTGAACAAATGATTGAGTACATTTTGTTGTGTTGGGGCTTTTACATTTCACTCTGTACTACAGTAAAAGTCAATTCTGTTGTTTGGTCTTAGTCCTCCATTTAATAATAGATGGGCTCACTGTAAAATCCCATTTATAATTTTTTATTTCGACTCATTTCTTATCTGTCTTGACTTCATATTTCCAAGTAATGTTTCATAAATTAATACCACATGGGCTGGGAGCTTAGCTCAAGATGTAGAACACTCCATAAGGCCCTGGGTTCAATCTTTAGTACTATGAGAAAAAATCACACAAACAAATTGGATAGTAAGTTTGTTTATGTTTTTATGTTTGGTATAAACTATTTGTTGGTTTTGGTAAATTTTATTGTTGTTAGTAATTATCTACTCCCCTTTTTCCAGTAGGAGGGTTAGATATCCCCCCCCATGCAATTGACTTGGGAAGGTTTTAAGAAAAAAAAGGCCATCAGAAGCACTAATCACGTCATTTAAAAAGAGATTTGTTGTGATTGATCATAAAGGGGACAGTGATGAGAAGGCAAATATATAGTTAGGACTTACTGGTGTCCAGATACTCATTCATTCAACATTAAGTAACCACTCTATCTACCATTCATTGGGACAAGTCAGGCTTCACAAATCAACTAATGCTTGAGTCCGGTCTTTATGAAAGACTAGTGTGGATACAAGGGAAATGAGAACTCCCAGCTCAGGGTATAAGGCACAGACTTAGAAGTAATAAAAAATATGGAATATTCTAGAAACTGTAAGCTGTTTGATAATACACATAATTAATTTCATTGTCAAAACAATTCTATGTTAGGGTATTGTATCCCTACTTTACAGAGGAAGAATTGAGCTCAAGATCACAGAGCAAGTAAGTGACAGGATCCAGATTTCAACCCACTCACAACTGCTCCTCTAGACAATGTTTTTTCACTCTACCTTACTGGGGTTTCTTCCTATCTGGTGTAGTGACCTTACTAAATAGTTAACTCTAAGCAAAATTCAAAGGGCTCTGGGACTCAATGAACATCAATTTGTTTTCTTTCATCACCACCAATGGATATATATTAAGCACCTACAATATTCTTGGCATTTTAACACAGGATAGGACAGTTTCTGTACTCATGTAATTCAAACCGAGTTCAAATAAGTCAAGCAAACACTGACAACATGGTCAATCAAAACCTTTGTAGAATGTGAAAGTCAACCTCCAAATCCACTTGATTTAGGTTCTTCTCTTTAAACTCTACTGGGTTGTTTGAAATGGGGTTAATCCCTCAGATAAAGAGAAAGTAAAGCTGAAATGTCATGTTGAGAAACAGAAAACTAATGAAGCTTTCAAATGATGCTTCCCAATTATTAAGGCCAGCCACGTTTCTTGGTTTCCTCTAAATAAACTTCCTTTCCTCATCTCCTTTCATTACAGATATTCTTAAACCAGTTTTTTTTTCTAGATTGGTAGTGAAGAGCGTGACTAAAAGGGAACAGAATGTTTCCTGTGCTTTGAACAGACTTTCATCATACTTCAGTTGGGTATCAACACTTTTTAAAGCCCTTTCAGAAAAGGAACAATTCTGTTGGTAGCCCTGACTATGGTAAGGCTGGTGCAAAACAAATTATACTGTGTCTTCCAATTTACTGAAAGATATGAACAGACATGATACAAGAGTGACATCTACTGCCACTGTGATCCATATTACAAAGATATATCTCATTTTAATTTCAGTCATTGAAGCTGCTGAAAGATAAACAGATTCTAAACTGTAAAGATATACTCTGTCCTATTTTCTAATATTTTTTAACTAAAGTTTTGGGAGAAGATAAATGGGAAAACCAGTCATTAATCTGTTAAGTGCTCAATTGTTAAGAAAATACTAATCTGCCTTAGTTTATTTTACAATAGCCCACTCCTATATTCTGTGAAATTTCTTTATATTACTGAAAGAAATATTCATAATTTTAGATCCTAATCAAAAATGATAATGCAACCATTCCCACATAGCTTGTCCTCCCACAATACAAAATCTTGAAGGAACTTCATGTGAATTTATTTCCATGTGAAAATAAAGCTGTAATATATCACTTTAATGTTTTACTATGTGCCTTTACTATATTGAGAACAATGTAGAGTAGATTACAGATAGATAAATGATAACATCTATGTCTGATTTCCTATTGAAGAAAAATTAGATATATTTAGATCTGTTCTCACACTGGAATATACTGGTGGATATGTTTCAGCAAGACTTTTGTAGAAAAGAAGCATAAGAATTTCAACTGAATGGTAAACATGAAAATGCAAGTTTTTAAAATGCAATCAATGTTATCTTATACATATGATTTTTTTTAAATGAAGGTAGTAAATGGCCTTAGTGGTAGGAGAAAAGTTTCTATTTGGTTCCCTGGTTGATTATGATCAATAATCAGCCTGACTGGAAAAAAATTTGCTCTCCAAGTACTCATCCTGTTGCTTCATTTACCATGGTACTCAGGAGTGTATTACCAGATGATTTTTTAAATTGTGTAAACAATTACTGAACACCTACTATATGTCAGATGAGATCAGGAGCATTCAGGGTAGTATGGCCGTAGACATCCTACTATATGTCAGACCTCAAATCTCTCCAATGATAGAATGCTGTGGAAATAGTAAGAAGAAGAATGCAAATGTTCCTGGGTGCTAGTGACTCTTGCCTTTAATCCTTGCTACTTGGGAGGCTGAGATTGAGAGGCTCTCAGTTCCAGGTCAGTCCAGGCAAACAGTTCACAAGACTCCATCTCAACCAATAGCTGGGCCAGGTGGTGTATACGTGTCATCCCAGCAATGATGGAAAGCTTAAAATAGGAAGATTGTGATCCAGGCCAACCTGGGCAAAAAGTGAGACCCTATCACCAAAAATAACCAGAGCAAAAAGGGCTGGAGGTGTGGCTCAAGCATGAAGCCCTGAGTTCAAATATCAGTACTGCAAAAATGCAAATATTAATATTATTCACTTTTCAAGGTACAACTCAAATTGTTTGTTATTCTTTTCTCTGTGCTTCTATACCTTGTACAAATACTTTTGTCCATGTTTGTATACCTATTTACTGAGCCCTCCGAAAAAGTAGAGACCCTGGCTTATTTTGTATTCCACAGAGCCTAACATATGGTTTGGCTCAAACAGGCAGTCAGTAAACATTAGTGGAAATGAAGGACTGAACATGGTACTGCACCATTTGGTGTTCAATTAACAAGACAGTACTTGTACAAGCACCACGTTTCTTTTTTTAAAGTAGGTACTGTAATTTTTAAAAAAATATTATTTATTTATTCACATGTGGGTACACTGTTTGGGTCATTTCTCCCCCCTGCCCCCCTCCACGACCCTCCCCCCTCCCCCCTCACTTCCAGGCAGAACCTGTTCTGCCCTCATCTCTAATTTTGTTGAAAAGACGACATAAGCAGTAATAAGAAAGGCAAAGCATTTTTTGCTAGTTGAGTTAAGGATAGCTATACAGAAAGATTCCTAGCATTGCTTTCATGTACAAATGTGTTACAACCCAAGTTGATTCATCTATAACTGATCTTTACACTGGTTCCTGAGCCCCTTCTCATGTTAACCTCTGTCGCTTTAAGGTTTCTGTATTAGTTCCTCTGGAGTGACAGTAATTTAATTGTTGTCTTGTTACCTTAGAACTTGAATTATCATGAAACAATAAATTTTATTTATTCAGATATTTCAGGGTGGTTTATCGTCTAACAAATAGGCTAATTCAGCAGAATTCAAACTTGCAAAAGAAATGAAATTCATACAGGCTCTAAAAGGTTTATGCCCTAGAAACCTTACGGGTTTACACTGAATTTTTTTTCCTGTGGTTCTAGAACTCAGGAACCTGAAGCTTGAATCACTTGAGCCACACACCTAGTCCTTTTCGTTTTCATTTATTTTTCAGGTAGGGTCTTCCTAGCTTTGGCCTCGGACTGCGATCCTCCTAACTCCTCTTTTCGAGGTAGGTGGGATTACAGAAAGTGCGCTGCTCTGCACTGAATTTAGATGAATGAGACTGCTTGCGCGTGTATTGCCTGATCTTTCTCTTTCCTTTTCCCCACCTTTTTGCGCTTGGGAAAGAGCAGAATGGAACACTTCAAGAGTTTCCCAGTCTTCCTCGCTCTGTCGCGGAAAGAGCCGAAGGCAGAGTAGGGCGCCGCCGAAGCGGAGCCGCCTTGAGCTCGGGCCCTTCCGGACAGACCCGGTCTGCGCTCGGAAAAGGAAGGCGCCTCTGACTTCAGCGCTTCGCCCACGCGCTGTGCCCTCTGTCGGCGACTTGGGGCAGCTGTAGCAGCGTGTGGCGGCCGGTGGCGGCAGCCGCGTCGAGATCGAACAAGACTGGAGCGACGTTTAAAGAAGGAGCAGAATCACCCGGGAGCCGGCTTCTTCTTGTTGGAGGACTCCTACCCTTCCGCGGCCGCAGGAGTAGAAGCGGCGGCGCCGGGAAGCAGGTGAGGACCCGGCCCCAGTCCGGGACGGGGCGAAGGAGCTCGCCCGCTTCCCCTGACCCTGGGCCGCGCCTGCGTTTGCGTTCGCCTCACTTGAACCAGGAAGCGGCGGAGTCGCAGGCTGTGCTCCTCCGGCTTTCTTTGTGTGGGCTGGGGAGTGGAGAAGGGGAAGAACCGGGAGGGCCGCGTCGCGGTTCCCTTCGCCATAAGTGGCCCTAGGGCTGTCGGTACCCCGGGTAGGCCCGGGGCGTGGGAACCCCACCAGAGAAACCCATTTGCGTTTTCTCTTTCCCCCTGCCTTCTTTGGGGGGCCCCCTTTTCTCCGCCTAGCTCCTACTTTGATTTAGAGCTTTTCTACAGGGCCCATCCTCCCCTTCCCGGGGCATAACAATGCCGCCTGCTTTGCCTCACCCTTCAACCCCCTAACACCGCACCCTACTGTTCGCCACCTTCTACTTTCTCTAGCACCCCTAATCCTCCCGCCCTCACTCTTCTGTTGGTATCTCCATCTGTTTGTGTAAAAAGCTGGCTTTTCACGTAAATTGCGTTTAAAACCTGGGTTACAACTGGTAGGGTGCAAACGGAGACGAGAGAGGTGGAGGGAGATGGGGTTCGGCTGCCGCAGGGAGCCGCGTGTCGGTTTGTTTCACTCCCAGGCGGATGGCCTTTATCTCTTTTCCACCTTTCTTTCCAGTCCTTCAGAACCTGCCCTCAGTCAAGGATTTGTCGCACAATAATGTGGAATGGCTTTTCCACAGTCAGGTCGCAAATATCGGGGGAGGGGGAGGAGCGGTACAGACCGACTTGTGTTCACCCTGGGCCCACCCTGGTGAGCCGGAGGGGGAACCTAAACAAAACGAAATCGAGTCCCAGGATAACCTGGACACGTATATTTGACGCATTCCCTCATTGGCAAAACCCATTTGCAAACGACAAAAATCGTGAGACCATAATTCATAAACCTCTGTAAACAATTAAAAGTGACTTCTTTTGAAATCTCCATATTTCTAAAGCCCTGGTTGTTGGCTCCTTGTCTAAAGGTCACCCTTTCTGATGAATGCCTTTATGGTAACATGGCATTCCTTGGTGCTAATAAAATACAGCAGCTAACAATGACGTTTTAAACCCTTAATTTTCAAAGGTTTTTTTTTTTGCCTATTTTTGTTCTTAAGCTGTGATTTTGAAAAAATTTAAAGGCATTTGAGATGTTCTGCCTTCCACGTGTATGTAACTGTGACAGTGATACTCATTGGGTAAGGAATATTACCGGTAAAATATTTATTTACTAACAGTACTTACTAAGTAATAGTCAATATATAATATTTATAAATAACATGTTATATTTTAATATGTGGGCGTTGGGTTTTTTCAGGATTTTTTTTTTCGGTACTGGGGCTTGAACTTAGGGCCTACACTTTGAGCCACTCCACCAGCCCTTTTTTGTGACAGTATTTTTTCGAGATAGGAACTTGCAAACTTTCCCTGGGCTGGCTTCAAACCGAAATCCTCCTGATCTCTGCCTCCTGAGTAGCTAGTATTACAAGCTTGAGGTACCAGCTCTGGCTTCAGGATTGTTTTTGTTTTGTTTTGTTTTATAACTCTGGCATCATTGTTACTAGGGATTAGCTTCTATGAAATGCAAAAAATGGTGTTTTAGTAGTGTTACACAGCAGTGCCTTCTAATGACGCCCCTCCTTCTAGAGTAACCTCTCCTCTGTTCCAGTAAGTTAATCTTTTCGTTTTCACAAATTCATTCAGTGAGAAAAAGTTCTTTATACCAATGTACGTTAATTATTTGCCAACAAAATGAAATGCTTCCAGTTTTCCTGCAAATAAGCATTAAGAAATTATGTGCTTTCCTTTTCCATTGTCTTTTTTTCATGATCGCATCTCTTGACTTCACTTGGCATTCTGTTTAATATTGCACCTCTGGAGATTGAGGTGAGGGGGACAGGCAAGGGATAGAAAATAATGGGACATTATGAAATAATAATTGTCAGTGTTTGTAAGTGTCCTTGGTTGCAGAGAATAGCTTTTGAACATTATCTTAAGGATTAGTCAGAAATTAAGAAGAATGTATATTTTAGACTCAGTGTTGTACATACCAAACTGTTCTGCCATTTAAATCATTCATTTACAGATGAAATAACTTCTATGCATTCATGATGAAGATTTTCCTTCAAACAATTTTAAGACAATTAAAAATTAACTCTTTCCTCTTGTTGAAGAGAAAACCCAAAATTGGGACTAAGAAAAATGAATTCGAATCTTTAAAAATTGCTTAGTGAAAATGCATGTATCTGAGATTCAAAGGAAAGTTACTATAGAGATTTCTATTCAAGCCTGTATAGCAATTTAAAACTTGCTGTTTCTTCTCAAGAGGAAGTTATGGGATTGGACACCTGATCAAAAAGCCAGCCTGTATGAACAACTTATATAATAGCCAAAAAAGTTATGCTTAACTTAGGTTAAAATTTGAATAAACTAATGATTCTGTGGCTTAAATGCTAAATAATAAAGTACTTTTGTTTTTTTTTCCCTAATCCTCCCTTACCCCTCCCTCCTCCTCTCTTTGTCTTATAGGCATGGAGAGTAGAAAACTGATTTCTGCTACAGACATTCAGTACTCTGGCAGTCTGCTTAACTCCTTGAATGAACAGCGTGGCCATGGACTCTTTTGTGATGTTACTGTTATCGTGGAAGACCGAAAATTCCGGGCCCATAGGAATATTCTTTCAGCTTCAAGTACATACTTCCATCAACTCTTCTCAGTTGCCGGGCAAGTTGTTGAACTGAGCTTTGTAAGAGCAGAGATTTTTGCAGAAATTCTCAATTATATCTATAGTTCTAAAATTGTCCGTGTTAGAGCAGATTTACTTGATGAGTTAATTAAATCAGGGCAGTTATTAGGAGTGAAATTTATAGCAGAACTTGGTGTCCCATTGTCACAGGTTAAAAGCATCTCAGGTACAGATCAGGAGGATGGTAATGCTAAATCCTTACCTCCTGGTTCTAGTGACAAAAACCATGTAATACAAAAAACAAAAGATGAAGGCCAAGACAATGGAACTACTATAATGCCTATTATAACAGAGTCTTTTTCATTATCTGCTGAAGATTATGAAATGAAGAAGATCATTGTTACTGATTCAGATGATGATGATGATGATGATGATGATGATGTAATTTTCTGCTCTGAGATTTTGCCTGCAAAGGAGACTTTGCCGAGTAACAATGCAGTGACCCAGGTCCAGCCTAACCCAGGTCCTGTTGCTATTTCAGATGTGGCACCTTGTGCGAGCAATAACTCTGCCCCTTTAACAAGTATTACACCTACTCAGAAACTTCCCACTCCTGTCAATCAGGCAACTCTGAGCCAAGCACAAGGAAGTGAAAAATTGCTGGTATCTTCAGCTCCAACACATCTGACTCCCAACATTATTTTGTTAAGTCAAGCACCACTTACTACACCACCAAATGTCAGTTCTTCACTTTCAAATCATATGTCCTCTCCAATCAATTTACTTGTGCAGAATCAGCAGACATCAAACAATGTTATTTTAACAGAAAACAAAGCCAATGAAGAAGAGGAGGAAGAAATTATAGATGATGACGATGACACTATTAGTTCCAGTCCAGACTCAGCAGTCAGTAATACATCTTTGGTTCCACAGGCTGATACTTCCCAAAATACCACTTTTGATGGATCATTGATACAGAAAATGCAGATTCCTTCACTTCTGCAAGAACCACTTTCCAATTCTTTAAAAATTTCAGATGTAATCACTAGAAACACTAATGATCCAGGCTTAGGATCAAAACATCTAATGGAAGGTCAGAAGATCATTACTTTAGATACAGCTACTGAAATTGAAGGCTTGTCCACTGGTTGCAAGGTTTATGCAAATATTGGTGAAGATACTTATGACATAGTAATCCCTGTTAAAGATGACCCCGATGAAGGGGAGGCCAGACTTGAGAATGAGATACCAAAAACATCTCGCAGTGAGTCAACAGGAAAGCGTATGAAAGTAAAACATGATGATCACTATGAGTTAATAGTAGATGGAAGGGTCTATTATATCTGCATTGTATGCAAGAGGTCATATGTCTGTCTAACAAGCTTGCGAAGACACTTTAACATTCATTCATGGGAAAAGAAGTATCCATGCCGTTACTGTGAGAAGGTATTTCCTCTTGCAGAATATCGCACAAAGCATGAAATTCATCATACAGGGGAGAGAAGGTACCAGTGTTTGGCATGTGGCAAAACTTTCATCAACTATCAGTTTATGTCTTCACATATAAAGTCAGTTCATAGTCAAGATCCTTCTGGGGACTCAAAGCTTTATCGTTTACATCCATGCAAGTCTTTACAGATCAGACAATATGCATACCTTTCTGACAGGTCAAGCACTATGCCTGTTGTGAAGGATGATGTGATTGGCTATAAGGTCGATGCTGGAAAAGAACCTCCAGTAGGGACCGCACCAGCTCCACAGAACAAGCCAATGACCTGGGAAGATATTTTTATTCAGCAGGAAAATGATTCAATTTTTAAACAGAATGTAGCAGATGGCAGTACTGAGTTTGAATTTATAATACCAGAATCTTACTGAATTCCTTTGAAATATGAAATATCAGTAAGTTTTGATTTGGATTTAAGGGAAAGGGATTTCAGAAGATCTGTAAAACAAATTAGGGTTAAAACAGATTAATTCATTCTGCCACATCATCTGATGGTAGTCTAGTTGGATTGTTCGTTGATAATTTTTAGAAGCAATTTTCTCTGAAAGTTTGAGTAGAGGTTGAACACCCCCCAAAGTACCTGTTTATATAGTTATCTTTCAGCTCATTTAAAAGAGACAAAAATTTAAAAACTCAGAGAGATAGTTTTCTGAATAGAATTTGAAGCAGTATGAATGTTCTTTGAAAATAACTGGAGTTTCTAGCATACCCTAGTACTTCTATTGACTTTCCCCTTCCATGTTAGCACTTTACTGCTGGATTCTCAGTTTTCTTAACATTCTATAAATGTGTGTTGTGTCTTGTATATGGCATAAAAAGTAAGGAAAAACTTCCAAAAATTGTTCTAGAAAATTTCAGAATAAGTCTTGACTTGGTTGTATATTCTGCTGGTCTAAATGAATAGCAACCTCCTGCCTCCCTCTCCCATGAAATTAGCAATGCAAACAAGTCTCTAATATGAAGAATGAGTTAGTTTTAGCTAATTAGAATTACCCATGCTTTTATTACCATAGTCTGTAAAAGACTTTGGTGGCTAGGCCACTATATACCTTTGCATTGTGGTCTCTGGGCAAAACACTAGTGGAAAAACAAATTTCTCTAGACAGACAAAAAGTTTTGCCCTACTTATTTTTAATTCTCTGTTCTTACTAGACAGTCACATTGGAGATTTTGTTCATTATGGTTAAAAAATAATCCCGTGAAATACTATAAATTTTGAACCTGAAAGCCACCAAATGAATCTTTTTCATAATTTAATTATGTATATATCTTTGTAAATGATAGATTCCATAGATGAGACTCCTGTGTATTTTGGGTGGGAGGCTACTGGCATATATTTTTTAAATGTTCATATTAGAATCTTCAATTGGAAGTTTTCATTTGAAATAGTTTAAGTGGTGATCTGGTATTTTCCTTTCAGCAAGATCTTTTAGGTTTTTAACCCCTTATAAATTAAGTTCTATTCCATCTGCAAATTGCTACAATATTATAGCAACCAGAAACTACATGGAATGTTACATAGGCTTGTCAATTCTCATTTATCCTGACAACAATAAATTCTACCTTTTAAGATGACACATATTTAAATACTCAGAAAATAAAGTTAAAACTTACCCAAGTGCTAGTACTAAAAGGAAGCAGGTTGGAACAAATACATAGCCTAGCATTTATAACAGAATTAACTTGAACTCTTCTGTAAATGATTTTTTGAAAAGGAAAAAATAGACACTGAAAATAGATTGTTGTTTCATAGTTATTAGCCATTCATAACCTTGCTTAAGTATTTCTTAATCCAACATAGATATTTTCTTTCTCCTTATCATGTGTTTTTTAATAATAGTCTATTTCTTGACTTTGAACTTAAAGCTTTAATTATAATTTCTCATGTTTCTATCATTTTTCACATGTAAGCTAGATTTGAAGATAATGATTTCAGTGTTTCTTAAGTTGGTAGCTGAGGGTTCAGGCATCAGTATTTGCAGTAATATGAGGAAAAAGAAAAATAATATCCTTTACTTACCAAGGGATGGAGTGATGTACATTTACCTGTTTATTGTTGTATGGATCCAGACCTTCACCCCATTTTATAAACAAACCCTTAGAAAATTTGAAATCATCTTAGAACTTAAGACTGATCTCTGTAATCATAATCTCTTTCCTTTCACACTAGATACTAATAGCATTGTTGTTTAACTATAGGGTGACCTCGGAAACGTTCTCATTCAAAATTTGAGTTTCATTGATGTTATTTCACCAGTTAGACATAATTACTTCTACCGATGTGAATATTATTGTTGCCAGCAGAACTTTCAGACTAAACAGTTAGACAGTTAGTTTGTCATACTAAAAGTTGGTGATTTCTACAAGCCCATTATGATAAATCAGCAAATCTATAATGGAAAACTATCCATTCTGAATAATACTGATGAAAGTATTTGCTGCTGTGCTCTGTAAATTCTGAGTATGAAATTTAAAACTGTGCCTACTGAAGGTATCTCCTGGAATTCTTTTCGGAGGAGGAAAACTGGAAAGTTACATTATAGTTTTGCCAGAAGACTCTTTACTTATATGTGCCTCAGGGTCTTCAGTTTTTCTGGAAGTTTCCATATCCGAAGTTCAGAGTTTTCATGTGGACTACTTTTTTCAGACAAAAACACTTCACTCCCAGTCTTTATTGGATTCCAAATTTTTAGCAAGATACTGTTTAAAACTAACAATGGAGGTTTTGTTTTATACTTCAGATTTCTGGCTACTGAACTTCCTTTTTTTCTTTCAAATCAGCTTCTAATTTGCTCTAGTCCTAAATTATCTAAGTATTTTTGATAGGACCTATTTGAAATCATAAATTTGTTAAAAGAAATGAAAAAATTTAAAATACTAAAACTGACCAAACATTTAAAAATGCTGTGGCAGTCTTGCAAGACTAGCTTTAAAAATATTTAAATGATTATTATTTTGGAAACAGTTCTCCACATAAAACCACTATGAGAAAATGATGCTACATTTTGTCTATGGTACTGAAAAGATAAAACAAATGGTGAACATTGATCAAAGTGTTTTATGTTGACATGGCATGCATATTCTAAGAAGTTAGATGCTAATTAAACAGCACTGGCTTCTTCACCCTCTGACAGTCATACCAAACCTTGTTATTTCCCCAAGTACTTCATACTTGTACAGTCGTCCCTTATGACTTTAAGTTCTACTTTTCATTAACCATTACCTGATATTAGTTCATAGAGCTTCTTATGGCAAAAATAAAATGTTATAATTCTAATTTTTGAGTGTGTTTTTTTACAAGATTATCTTTCAGAAATTACATAGGTATTTATACTGTTGTCATTTTTTTCAATTTTTGTAACAAGACTGGAGCGGTATTTCTGATGATAGCATGGCAAAAATTCCCATTAGGTTTTATTTGTTGTTTAATCATGTCCCATTGTTTCTTGAACCATAATAGTAAAAGGTGAATTAGCTTTGGTTTTGAGTGTTACTTTATAGATACCATGAGGATGTCTATAAAGGGATAAGGAGGAGGACAGTTTTATTAATTTGAAACATCACAAAAGCAGTCTGAGTTTCCAACATGGCAGTGATAACAGATTTAAAGCAATATCCAGTTCATACAGGCTCTGGATTAATATTTTAATGTTTCATGCCCAGTTCAATTCTTCAAAGCAGAATTAGGAAGAAAGCAGTAAATATTACAAAATGCAGTAAAGATAGCATATTGGAAATACAAATTCCTTCATTACAGCAAATGTTTTGCAAAAGAGTAAAGCAGCAAATACTGATTTTTCTAAGGAAGCATGCACTTTATATAATTCAATGTACTAAAAAAGAAGCTGCTCAAATTAAGTGTTACAAAATCTATACTGTTTCAAGTTATTTTGTAAAGTAAGAAAAATACATAGAAATGAGTCATAGAACCCTAACACTTTAAGAAATGTGATACATGTAGGATATACTCTGTAATGGTGCCTTTAAAAATATACACATTCACTAAAGCAAATGGTAAAGTCTAAATGGCAAAAAATTCAGTGAGTACCTCAAGTTGATAATTATATAGCAGATCAATTGGTTATTAGTCCTTTTTGGAAATACAGTAGAATTTTAATATGCTCAGAAATGTAAAAAATAATAGTAATTTTGTATAACACAAAAGGATTGTAGTTTTTCATATTTGAAAACTGGATAAGACAACATTCATGATGCTGAAAGTTAAGCTGAATAGTTTGCAAATATTTATTATGATCAGTGAGTGCACTTGTTGTGCATTAATGATTCTTGATGATCATGTGTCTACAAGGTAGATGGGAGCACCAGCATTTGTCTGCTACCTCTAATCCATCAAGTTGGGAGGTAGCAAAATTGGCTGGAAATTTTTCCAGTTTGTGTTCTGTGTTTGTTTGCTGCAAAACTGTCTAATTAGGTTCCCTCCTGTAGCCCTGTATTTTTACATTATACAAGTGTAGGATTATCAGTCTTCCTTTAAGCCAATCAATTCTCGGGTTAACGTAAGATCCCTATGAAAGTGTTCATTCTGAAATGAAGGCTTTGGTGCCAAAGTGTTTTAAAGTCATCAGGTTGATGGTTTAAAGCTATGTATAATTAAAAGAACTGTACAAATACCACAATGTACTTGATGAACTTTAAATCTACCTTAACACTTAAGAATTAGTCAGGTTGGCTACATTTGAGGTTTTGCAGAATTGAAGCGGCATTGTAACACTTTCATAATTTTGAATTGAAAGCTGTCATGATGGGTCTAAACAGAAAAAAGGACCAATAATAGCAGTGACATTAAAATTCAGATGATTTTTTGGGGATGGGGTGGAGGATACGTGCGGTTTGCTGGGGTTGAAGCACAATATTTGAAGATTAAATAGTCACAAAGATTAGTAAGAATTCATATCATGGCCAAACCTAATGTAGCATTTTTAAACTCTGAATTTCAACTGTAAGATTTATATCCCCCGTAGCAAATATGTTTGTAATAATGCAACACGTAGTAGAACCACTGCCTCCTAAGTTACCAAATGTGTTACTGAGATCTACTTAAAAGAGCTCACATGTTGCTCTGTATTTCAGTGCTTCTGAAACAGTCCTGTTTCTCACTACTCAAGAAGAGGGAATATTGCACTTTTCCCTTTAGGAGATACCAAGAACAAAAGCTGCTGAATGATCACAATAGCCATTTTTTACAATACTCACAGAGAAGGAGTACAATATGGGCAGCTTTTTTTCATCATACATACACAAGCAAACAAAATCTTAGCCAGAACTCTCTTTAGGAACTACTGTGTAACCCAATCAGCTGGGAAATTTTCCATAAGGAATGATGTTAGTTGTAGGGAAAGATAGGGCCTTTAAATCAGGTGCTTCATCCAAGGTGCTAGGGTGGCAATCTGCCAAGAGCCTAACAACAGCACTCCTTTACCTAAAGTGAAGCAGAGGACAGCCACGTTTCTGCTGAAAACAGACATGCACCCTAGGGTTATGCATGTGTAAGCATGACAAGCTTCTTGCTAGGCTGGCTCCCCAGCCTTGCTTAGATAGTGAACTGTCCTTGGAAGTACTGGGTTCAGTCTAGCCACCCCTACTCTTCACTGATAACAAGCTTCATTCCTATCTTTCCCTAGCCTGCCACGCCACTGTAAAACTTATATATGAGTCACACTTTAAATTTTGTACCCTACACACTTCCACTAAAGCAGAAATACAAAAGCCACAATAATCTCAATAGCCAGAAGGCATTCCTATTTAGGGACTGTATGGTGGTGGCTTTTCAAAAGGTGGATAGTAGGGTGGAGAATAACGGGGTGGTGCACTTGAGGACCACATGTAGCTAGGAGAGGGAGAGGCAGACTGGGGCTCGTCAGAGAGTCCAGAGGGAGGAGAGGATGGAAAGACACTGGAATGCTGTATAATGAAAAGAAAACATCAGCTTAGGCAGTGAGTTGTGCAATTCCCCTAATAGTAATTTCATTTAGAAAGGAATATACATTAAAGTTTCTGTTTGGAAAAACAGCTCCCAAACCTTACAAAGTTAATGAAGGACATGAAAGAGGTAGCACCACATTCAGTCACAAAGGCTGCAGGCCTCATGCAGAGATATTTGGGAAACCTTCCCTTACCCTTGATCCCTGCATCTAGTCAGATACCAAATCTTGTTACTTCTACTGTGTTTAGTCTCTTGAATACATCACTCCCATTTCTGCATTTATAACTCAAGGGAGAAAGACTTTCTTGAATTCAAACCCCAGTACCTCCAAAAAAAGGCAATTGGGGCCTTCAGAACATTTAATGAGGTTAAGCCATTGAACCCTGGGAAAATCTTTGCCATAAGCATAGTGCAGTGGTCAGGGGCCCATCTCATAGACAAAAACCAAGGTCAGAAAAGTAAATGGCTTGCTTGAATCTGGAACCTGTACATCCTATTCCATCTGAACTACCCCACTACCAAAAGCTACCAATGTTAAGAATGAGAAGCAATATGTCAGATTGCAGACACTGAGAATTCAAATTTTTTGTCTATCTTTGGGAAAGTAGCTGATAAGAATTTTAAAAGAAGTGAATTGCCATATTAGAAGTCATTTGTTCTTTCTCTGAACCATGTCTGCCTCTATCCTTAATGATTTTCCTTCTCAAGGAGAATTAGTCTGTTTTTTCATTGCTGTATCCCCCAGAGCTCAGAACAGTGCTTGGCAAGTAGTAGGTACTCAATAAATCGTAAACGAGTGAGTATAACTTCAAGAGTATATAAGATAAACTTGGCATGTTTTATAATTATAAAATCTGTTTTAAGAGGATAAAGTCACAATGGATCAAGGTTGGGGTAGGGTCTGAAGGCTGGAGGGAACCACAAGATAAGAGATAGGAAACCAATTTTAGGCTCTCTGGGAGAAACGTAAGTCAAGAAATGGAGTAAGAACTATAAATATTCTGTTGTGTCTTAGCTGTAATAGGAGCTGGTTTTATATGTGTGTGTGTGTGTATGGTGGCACTAGGATTTGAACTCAGGGCCTTACACTTGCTAGGGAGGCACTCTGCCACTTAAGCCATGCCCCCTTTTTGGTTTAGGTATTTTTCAAATAGGGCCTCACGTTTATATCCAGGACCACCATCCTCCTATTTACACTTCCTGTGTAGCTGGAATGACAGGTGTGCACCACCACACCTAGCTTTTTATTGTGAACTTTTAGCCCAGGCTGGCATGGAAATGTGATCCTCCCAATCTCAGCCTCCCAAGTAGCTAGGACTACAAGCATAACTCACCAGGCATGGCTGGTATATATATTTTTTAGAGAGTCACTTAAACCAAATTTTTTAAAGAGTTCAAGTGGTAGTTTAGGATGGGGGGGGTGGTAGTGGAGAGGTTGCATCTTCTGCTAGCCAGAATTTAAGTAGATCGTGTCATTTTTCCAGACCTGGAGCAATCTAGAGTCAGCCTTGACATGAGGCTTCTTGAGGCTGAGATCAGTTGGCTGATTTTCATCCCTAGTCCTGACCTCTGCACTCCTGGAAAAGAGGTGTCTAGGTTTCTTGGTCTTGTGTAAGACACTGAAATGTCTATTCCTTATCACAATACTTTTAGAACCAAGAAGAGACTGTAGCTGCCATCCTCCTCCACCACCCTATCCATTTTTCACTATGAATGAAGGAATGACAGAGTCATAGAACTTCAAGAGCCTGTAAAGGAAAACAAACATGAGACAGTGGGCTCAAGATGAGCCAGATGCCTCCCCCTCCAAAAAAAAACCTCAACTTTTCCCCTTTGTTAAAAATGGTACAGTGATATGTTGGTTAACAACAACAGGGATGTGTTCTAACAAATGCATCATAGGCAATTTCATCATTGTGCAAACAGTGAACTTACACAAATTAAGATGGCTATGATGTCAGTAGGCAATATAATCCTATAGAACCACCATTTTATATTCTGTCTTTGACTAAAATGTTATGCAGAAGATTGTACAGTGATTCCCTAACTTTCCATTTCACACCCCCAACCTTTCTCCTTTTTTCCCTTCCCCCTCTTTTGTTGCTTTCTTCAATAAAGAACTCTCTCCTCTTAACCAGAGAGGAAGGCAAACCACTATTCCCCACAAGGCCAAGAATCTGTGCCGGGGCATGTGGCACTCTGTCTTCTAAATCCCACTATAGGGTTGATGAGAGGCAATAGGCCAGTTTTAGGTGTTCCCAACCACAGAAGGGAGAGGCAAATTTCCCGCAGTAGAGCTAAAGACAGTTCTGTCCTGAGAGGCATTAAAAGGCTTTGGTGGGCAGCAGCTGCTGTGGGTGGCAGTTGTACACTTTGATAATAAAAGAGGGTGGTACAACAGCCCTTGAGTTTTCACTTCTCAGTTTTTATGCTTGGGAAGTACTAAGGGGGTGAGGCGGGGAGGGATTCTCACTTCCCTTCAAAGATAAAATTGGGAGTCTTAAGGATAAAATTGAAGGGTTCCTGGCAGAGCTAGGGAGCTAACTGGCTGCAGTCCACACACTCTTGAGGTTTGGTGGGGAAAAGGCTCACAGTACCAGTGCATAGTTTCCTAGCAACAGGCAGGCACCTTGGGAAAGATTTGGCTTTGTCCCAGCTGGAGAGCTGGCCCAGTGCATTTTGGTTCCTGCCTGACAGTCTGGCTTTACTAATGTGACAGGCACCTCAGGAAAACAAAGCTTTGAATTCTTGCACACCATGAAGTATGAGGGGCATGCCTACTGCTGGGTCTAGTCAGCTCTAGCTTTCTGAGCCACTTCTCAGGCTCAGGCTGATAATGCTAAGAGGGGAATCTCTCTACTCCCATCATAGTCCGCTTCCTCTCTGCCTGAGGGCTAACCCCACACTCTTCAAAATCAATGTGCATTTCTGTCAAGGCATGCCTCTGTCTTCAGGAGCATTGTGGAGCACTGACTCCAAAAGAGCATTAGAACTGGCTGGTGCCAATGACTAGCTAGAGAAGCTGGGTCCCAAGGGTAAACCTAGTATTTGTTGGTTCTTTGCATTCCCCCTCAGTTCTGACCCAGAAAGCAAAGGCTGAGGAGATGGAGAGAAGAGTGGCTAAAAGGAAGAGGAAGAAAAAGGGGGTGAACAAGGGAAAGGAAAAGGAAAAACTTGTTAGGGAAGGGGAAAAAAGAAAAAGCAACAACCTTCTGAGTTCTCAGTAACCTGTACCATAACCTGCCTCCCACAGGATTAAAGCAATCCTTTTATTAAATGGGCCCAATTTACAATGAGTCACTTTTAGTGTCTTAGTTGAAAGGTAGTATACCTTCGTGTGCTTAATAAAGAGCATAAACAGAAGCACTTGCATTTTTGCATAGGCTGAGAGTTTTAAGCTTAAACTTGGCAATTCACCAAATGGAAAGGAAAGGGACCAATCCATGGTTATAGTAAACAGGGGAACTGGCCCCTACTGGCAAGTGTGTCTGGGGACTTTCAGAGATTTATATAAAGCTACACTGGGTCCAATTTTCCAACAAAAGTAGATACTGATGCTTAATATCCTGTAGACTTTGGACTACTTGGAGGAAGCTGAAGTGGTTGTGGGGAAATGAGTACAAAGGACAAGAGAATTGAGAGATAAGTTCATTAGAAGCAAGAACTCCTTGGAATGTAATGTTTAAGAGACTCCTTTTTCTGTGCCCTCAATACTCAAATTTCCCCAGGGCCAGCTGACCAGAAACAAATCCTTGCTCATATCTGAGCACAAGAAGTGTCTCCAAGCTTCCTAGCCAATCACCTACACAATAAAGGCATGGCTTTGAGGAGTAAAGTCTATTTCCTCATCCTTCTATTAGCCTTGGGGTGAAAAGGAAACAAATTATCAAACCTAAAGTCACAGAAATAGTCCCATTTGCAAATGACCAAAATAGTAAACTCATTCAGAAGAAAGTCCAGATTCTATGGCCATACCACCTTCAGCTCATCTGATCTTAGAAGCTTAGCAGTGTCGGGCATGGTTAATACTTGAATGGGAGAAGATAGTCTGGAAAGGCCAGAGTTTCTGGCTGTCTGGTCATTTTGCCATCTGAGAAGAGCATGGGGGAACTCTGGAGTTTTTTTTTAAGACTTTTGCTTCTTGTGATTTTATTGTCAGAGCCGGTATACATTTGCTCACTGCTTTCTATTTATCTGGGAACAAAAGTAGATGTTCCCTGGCTTCTTAAGTGAATACTGGTATTTCCTTCTATGAAACTATAAAGGAATGGATCATGGTGAACAAAAGAAAGCTCAATTTAAACACTAAGCTCTAGAGAGAAAAAAATCACTGAAATACCTCCCTCAAGAAGCAGACTGAGCAGAATGAGAGGGCCTGGCCTTCAGCCTAAGTGACTGGTCTCACTTTTTAAGGTCTTTGTCTTTCAAGGGGCCCAGCACACCAGATGATCTCTCAGATTCAAGTGTGTTCTGCAAGCAGCCTTTTGGAAAGGTTGGTCTAAATAGTTCTGATCAAGAACCTGCACATGTTTTCTCTCAGATTGGATATAGTACCTCAAGTATCATATCCAATGTTATCTGGGGATGTATTTGTGTGCATTCACCACTACATGCCCTTCTCCCCAAGTCAGTATCCTTTTAAACAATTTCCAAATAGGTTTCTGTAGCTGTACCAAAGCCTGGGCATCTCTGTTCATTGCATACCAATACTTATGGATGCCTAACTACCTAACTTAATTTTTCTTTTTAAACCTCTAACTAGGACCAGTGTAAGATCCAGAGGCTGATCTGCAAATTGAACTACATGTATTTGTGCAGGAGATCCTGTGTTCAGGACTGCATGTGGCTTGTCTAAGTGAAATAGGGAGTGACTAACGTAAAGTTGATTGCACTTTTTTTAACCTAACTGGCAGGATCTTATTTTTACAGTATTTTTTCTTTTAACATTTTCTTTTAACATATTTACTAGATAATTTCCTCATTTAAAAATTTTGTTTCTCATCTGGGAATTTGGTACTTAGGGTTTCACCAATTTTTCCAAAAGTTCAAACCATTTTAATACCAGAACATGGTAAATTTGCTTCCATTTCAAGCAGCTAGTGGGCTTTTTTTTTTTTTGCTAGCAGGCTTTTTGTACAACATTATTAGCTGATATCATTAACTATTCTGAGAGGTGAATGTAAAAAGCATAGGTTTTTAAAAATAAAAATAAATTTTCAAAGAGCATCCCCCCCGACAATAATCCCCCTCAAGTTCTATACCATACAACTATAAATTCTTCAAAAAGGAAATATGAAAGACAGCTTGAGCCTATGTAAAAAACAAGAAGATGCATAGGAAGTGTCCAAACAGTCCCTGAACTGGAGAATGAATACAGGAAGGGAATGCCTTTTTAGGGGAGACCAAATTAATAATTTAATAAAAAAGAGTAAAAAGACACCTTTCCTGAGGTCATGATTAGGAAATTTATAATTTAATCAAATAAAAAGTATAAATATCCTAAAGTCAACTGGGGAAAAGATTTATGGGCATTCAGAGTCACAGCTTCTCCAAAGTATTCCTCAAACTAATGTCTGCAACTCTCAGTCATTCTTTTTTTTTTTTTTTTTTCATCTTCAGGTGAATTTTATTGCTATGAGAAACACTAGAAAAATCAGATTTTTTTTTACAGAGTAATTCTGTTCTTTTTTTTTTTTTTTTTTCATTTTTCTTTTATTATTCATATGTGCATACAAGGCTTGGTTTATTTCTCCCCCCCTCCCTTACCACCCACTCCACCCCCTCCCGCTCCCCCCCTCAATACCCAGCAGAAACTATTTTGCCCTTATCTCTAATTTTGTTGTAGAGAGAGTATAAGCAATAATAGGAAGGAACAAGGGGTTTTGCTGGTTGAGATAAGGATAGCTATACAGGGCATTGACTCACATTGATTTCCTGTGTGTGGGTGTTATCTTCTAGGTTAATTCTTTTTAATCTAACCTTTTCTCTAGTTCCTGGTCTCCTTTTCCTATTGGCCTCAGTTGCTTTAAGGTATCTGCTTTAGTTTCTCTGCATTAAGGGCAACAAATGCTAGCTAGTTTTTTAGGTGTCTAATATAATTTATAATTCTTATAAATTCTTGCCCTCTGTTTACATCTCAATGATTTTGGGGAAGTCACTTAACTGCTCCAGTATTCAATCATTTCATCTTTAAAGAACTGCAATGACAAGAGTACTTCTCTCAAAGGACTATATGACTCACTGATGATATATAAACTTAGTACAATGCTTTGTATATTGTAATTGCTCAATGAATAGTAGCTGTTATTAAAAAGTAGACTTCTAAAATCCCTGAAGTCTCTGTTATAATATTAGCCCAGAGTGTAGGTTTGGACTAGGTAGCTAAATTTGGATCCCTTCCCTGGGTTAAGTACCCTGTTTCCATAGCACTCAGTGTAATAGTTTATTTACTTTTTTGTCATCTGTCCCCTGACTCACCCATCAAGTCACTAGACATATCTTTTAATACAGGGACTGTCTTAGTCAACCTCTAAATCCACAGCTACTAGCACAGTACTTGGCATGTTAGAACAAAACGAAAGCATTGATTGAACTGAAACCAACAGCACAAATCATTGTTGAATTGTCGATCTTATTTTCATTCCCAGGATAGGGTTTGAATGAGGAATGATGAACAGATATGTGGCTGCATATTATTGTCCCTACTTAAGGGGTTCATTATAAAGTGTAAATTTGTGAGATCAATATAATTTACTTTGATATAAAAATGGTAGAGGGGGTTGGCCGAGTGGCTCAAATGGTAAGAGTACCTGCCTAGGAAGTATGAGCCCCTGAGTTCAAACCCCAGTGCCACCAACATAAATGTAAGAGGTCTCTTGGACTGGACCCATGTGTGGACCCTGTATCCCAGAGAAGTTTTATATTATAGAGGCCCCAAGAGAATATTTACTCAACTCGTGTTAGCTTCAACATGCATGAATTCTCTTAAAGGATTTCTTATTGCCTCTGTCACTACTGAAATTGTGCCCATCTTGAACATATTTGTATTTCCAAGCCTATACCATCTAATTGGGTAACCTGTTACCAGAGTAGTCTACCTGTCTATCTAATAGGCTTTAAAGCAAATTCTAATGTTATTTTTCTAAGCTTTATTGGATACCTCCTTGTACTAGTACTGTATTTTATAGGAGGGAACAAGGCCATTTTCACACTATATGTATTAGTTTTGCAGTATAAAGTCCTAGACTTCAAACCCTTGTGTGGCTGAGAATACCTTTGTGCTAAGGAGCAGGGCTTGGCCTCTCCCCATTGCAGAGGAATGGAAAAAGACACTATTGGTCAGTGGTCCATGGTAATGTACTAATAAGCTGTCATTTCCCAGTCAAATTATCTTCTCTTTGATGTTGTTAAAGACAATTTGGAACTCCTTGAGCCTACCTTCCTTTTTTTCTCATTTTCTTCCATTTCTCTATTCCTTCTCTTGTGCTCTTCCCACCTCTCCCATCATTGCCTGCCAACTAGTCCTTAATCTAATCACTGGTACCCACAGGCTGCAAAAGGCCATCAAGGATAGAGAGTCTGGATACCTCATTCTTATTATGAATACAATGGAAAGGTTCTATAATTAAATTGAGAGTGAGAGTAAAGGGAATATTTTTCAAACATACCTGAAAGTCATAAGCTGAATAAGGTGGCAGATGGGGAGGGCTATGGTAGTAGGTATTGTACGATGCCACTTGGGGACGAGCATAGTAAGAAACAGTTGGATGGGCATTTTCAACAGAACAGTTCAGTGCCGGAAGAGTAGGGTTCTGTAGACAAACACAAATTAAAAACAACATAAATGTTCATCACTAGAATGGTTAAACATCTGTGGAACATCTATACAATGGGATACTGTGCAGCTATTGACAAACAATGATGTAAACCCATATTTAGTGACAGAAAAAGTTAAGAGTATATTGTTAATTTTTAAAAAGCCACTGTGTTAAATTAATCTAGCATGATTGCAGTTTATATAAAAAAGACTCAAGCAATTATATATGTATATGTACTTGTAAACACAAAGAAATTAACTTGGAAAGATCCACAACAAACTTAACTATATTTATCTATGGGGAGGAGAATAATATTAGGAGGAGAATGGGAACTCATCTTTCTACTATATATGCCAAACTTTGTTTTTTTAATTTATTGTACAAATAATGAGTTTCATTATGACACTTATACACATGCATTTTGATCCATCACTCCCTTATCCTCTTCCTTCTCCCTTTGGGCTTTCTCCACACATACCAAAATAGTCCTCCATTTAGGTTCATGTCTTCTTGTTTGTATTTATGGATTTAGTTCCATTCATTTTCCTGCAAGTGATATAACTTCATTCTCCTTTATGGCTGAATAATACTCCAGTGTGTATGTATGCCACATTTCTTTATCTACTCATCCATTGATGGGCATAGGTGTAGCCATAAATTGGCTACTGTGAATTGTGCCACAAAAAACATGGATGTGCATGTATCTCTTTTGCATGCTGTCTTACATTTCATTGGATATTTGCTCAAGAGTGGTATAGCAGAATCATATGGTAGTTCCATATTTAGACTTCTGAGGAACCTCCATACTGATTTCCATAATGGCTGCACTACTTTACATTCCCACTAATGGTGTATAAGTATTGTTTATTTTCTTGATATTAGCCATTCTGACTGGTGTGAGGTGGAGCCTCAATGTTGTTTTGATTTGCATTTTATTTATGGCTAAGGATGCTGAACTTTTTTTCATGCACTTATTGGCTATTTGTGCTACTTCTTTTGAAAACTGTTTAATTCATTTTCCCATTTATTATTTGGGTTGTTTATTCTTTTGGTGTTTAATTTAAAGTTTTTAAAACTAATAAGCATTGTGTCATTTCCCCCCAACTTTTTAACTTGAAAAAAAATCAAAGCTATAGAAAAACTGAAATTACTCATGTGAATTTTAAAAAAGTAAGACTCAAAATAAAAAATGTCAAATTGACAAGGCTGAACAGGTTATTGCTCTTGCTATGACAGAACGCATTCAATCACAAAGAGTTTATAAAAGTGAGGATTCTTTCAATTCCATTCTTACTTAGGAGCTCTCTTGAAGACATGAAGGGCATTCATTTCTCATTAGACCTGCATGACTACTAGTGCACCATTTTTCATTAGACCTGCATGACTACTAGTGCACAGAAGTCATGAAAGACTAAGCAGAGTATACTGATCCTTTTTTATTTTTGCAAACAAAACAATGCAGAAAAAATGTTTTTTTATCATTTTACAACCTGGTGGTATCTGTAGCCCTTTAAGGGTTAAAGACAAATTTGATCAGGATGGAGGCCCTGCTCTCAACAGGGCCAAAGCATATCTAAAGGAAAATAATTCCAAAGTGGAAGTGTGCTTCATATCACATGAGTGAAGATGTAAGGTAAGTGTTTTTTCCACCTTTCATGTCATAGATTCGTCTTCCATTCATGCAGATAATCAAGAGCTGCCTAAAAGACCAAACTTTCTTCATTCCAGTACATATCTATATCACATTCACACAGAGCAGAGAGAGCAAAACCTTCCTCTCAAGTTGTGAAAATATGTGGGCAGGCTTTGGCAGTGGCACAGGCAACCATGTTAGGGTGTTGACAGGAGAAACTGTTACAGCAAGTTTCAACACAGTTCTGTTGCTCCGTTTCTTGGAGTAGGTTACTGTTTTATAACTCTAGGAGGTTTGAAGAGCTGCAAACCTCAATCATTATAATGCAGCTCACAGGCAAAAGCAATGTTTGTCAGTCTCTCTAGTGTGTGTGAGAGAGCTGAGATCTTGACCATTCCAAAGGCTGGCTTGCTTTACAGAGGAAGAACTTTTAGAAATGCCCTTACCTCTCCACCAGAATTCTAAGAAGAAATTTCACCCTTGGTAAGTACCAGAAATCATATTCCCTTGGTCTTTTGTGCATTTAAAACACATCCTCCCAGCTCTTATAAAATGAAACTAGTACTTCTATCCAAATAAACTAAGCCTAACTATGGAAAAACAATCATACAATGTAAAAGATTTTTGTGTTCAGTGAGCCAGGGGTCCAGGATCAAGAAGACTGAAGGAGTGTAGCAAAGCCACTAGAAAGAAGAGAGTCAGGGACTGACAGTATAGAAAAAAATGACAGGGCAACGAGAGAGAAAGAGGATGACAGAGTGATGCAAAGGGTGAAATAAACAGTTTGGGCAAGGATGAAGCAAAAGAGATAGCCCAAGATAATGGTCTAGTTGTGTTTTAAACCAATAATTCTGATTTTACAACAGATATGGCCTTGTCTCTATTTATGTGCACATATAGGAGTATATATGTGTGTGTGTGTTTCTGTTAAAATTCTGGGGCTTAAGTTGTAAGAGCCCTGTTCTGAGCTCTAGTCAAACAAAAAGTTATTAGGTGGCACAGGAAATTGTGAAAGCAATCTTGCCTGAACAAAACTGAGTCTATTTTGGGACAATGATTGTGGAATAAAGACATCAGAGACAGCAATTAGTAGAAAATGGCAGGATATATTCACCTTTTAAAGATTCATCTTAAATCTTCATATCTTTGGTAAACAGACACTGAATCAAAAATTTCCTTAAGATTATTTTAACCAAGCATCTCTGATCACAGAATGAAGAAATCCCTTTTTTCCTTTTAGGATCCCACAACTCTGGACATGGTGGCTCCTAGCCCATTTGGTTGAAGGCTGCCAGCTTACAGCACTTAGCTCCTGTACTTACTCCCTGGAAATAGCTTTCATCAGCCAGTACCCCTGGGCTCCCTACAGATCCCCAGGGTACTCTACTCAAGGAGGAGACACACAAGTCACCAACCATGTTTGGACTTAGGCCAATGATTTTATTTAGGCTCACTTGGTTAATGTGCCAGGACTGTCTGCATCATCTTCTCATTTTAATAAATTGATCTATGTTATGGTCCCTCTCTAGAGTTTTCTCATCCCATGAATCAAATATCTTCTCCTCTGATCTTTGCTCTTGTCTTTCGTTTTCCCCATGAGTCCTTGAGAGAGTTACCAAATTTGGCATTTAATAATGCTTGGTATTTCGCTCAATCTCCACTCTAACTGTTAAAGAAGTTCCCAACTGTTGGAAACAGCTTTCTTTTAATTCATTTTAATTAAAACAACTAAACAAATTAGGTAATGTTTGTTACAATGGTTGTTAGAACTAGAAAGGTCTAACCAAGTGCTAGGAACAGCAGGGATAGAGTAGAAAGAGTAAGGGATCTGGCATGTGACAAATCTGATCTGGGCTTCTGTCCCAGTTCTGTTACTTAGCTCTAGGCAAATCACTTGACCCCTCTTGGCCAGTTTCCTCATCCGTTAAATGGGGACAGTAATATCTATCTCATAAGATAGTAATAGTGAAGATAAAAAAAAAAGTAAATGTGCAAAAGCACTTTGTAAGGAGTAAAGGGCCATTATTGCACCTATCCTGACAGACCCTCAACAAACTCCTTTTTCCTCTGTACATCAAAAATAACTGAAATTAAGAATTCAGAGACAAACATACACATTTGAGGTTAACTAATTTTTTTTGTTGTTGGTGGTACTGGGGTTTGAATTCAGGGCCTCATGCTCGCTAGGCAGGCGCTCTATCACTTGAGCTATTCCTCCAGCCCAGATTAACTGATTTTTGACAAGCAGCCTAAGATCTAAAATGAGGAAAGAACAAGCTCTTGAACAAATGTGCTGAGACAACTGGGCATCCACAAGCAAAAGAATGAAGTTGCATTCCCACCTCACACGAAAAATTAAATCAAAATAGAAAAAGACCTAAATATAATAGCTAAAACTATACAACTCTTAGGAAAAAAAGGCGGGGGGGGTGGGTGGAATCTTCATGACCTTCAATTTGGCAATGGATTCTTAGATACAATACCAAAACCATGAGCAACGACATGATTGATAACCAGACTTCATTAAAATTAAAAACTTTTGGGCATCAAAGGACATTATCAGGAAAGTGAAGAGACAAGCCATAGAATGGGAGAAAATATTTGTAAATCATATATTTGATGAGGGACTAGTATCTGCAATATATATAGAATTCTTACAATTCAGTGACAAAAGAAAAACATTTAAAAAACGGGCAAAGCTGGATGTGGTGGTGCATGCCCAGAATTCCAGCACTTGGAAGGCAGAGGCAGGAAGATAATGAGGTCCAGGCAGCCTGGGCTACATAGAGAGACCCCGTCTAAATAAATAAATAAAGCAAAGAACTTAAATAAGCATTTCTCCAAAGAAATTATACAAATTACCTACAGGACACAAAAGATGTCTGATATCATTGGCCATTAGGAAAAGGAAATCAAAAACACAATGAGTTAACACTTTGTAACCACTAGAATGGCTATATTTTTTTACAGTCTAGGGTCAAATTACAAACTGCCTTTCAAGGTCCTGCTTTTTGGAGACCCCCCAAATAGTACAGAAACAGCCAAGGGCTTAGGAGCTTCCTGTCTTATTGCTATAGTCAAAAGAAAACCCCTTTTAGGCACAAAATAATTTTCTAAGCATATGTGCAGGGATTCATTTAAAGCAGTGGTGCTCAACAATAGCTACAGACAAAATCACCTGGGGAGCTTAAAGGGCTAAGGGAGAGTAATGGAATGGGTTAAATGGATCAAAGTAAATTATAGCCACAGTGGGCATACATTGAGACACCCCTTTGAACATCAACTTAAATATTAATAACGAAAGACAGGACTGTAAAATAGGCACAGTGTGTGGGGGGGGGTTACTACAGGGAGGAGGAGAGGGTGAATGAAGGAGATTAAGGTGACGGTATATGGTTGATGGACCTCATATACTTATATGAAATAGAACAAAGAAACCTCTTGCAATTGCTTTAAGTGGGATTGGGAAGCGTTGAGGGGGAGAGATGATGGGGGCAATGTAACTAGTGTACAATATATGTCACTATGAATCCGTTATATGGGGGGGTATAACAAATATATCCTAATAAAATTTTTTTACAAAATCACTGATGCCTGAGCTTCAGTTTAGACCAGCTAAATCAGAATCTCTGGAGAAGGGACCTAGGCATGTGGACTTTTGTTTTGGGGTTTTTATAAAGTATATCAGATGATTACCAATTTAGCAAATAATTGCTTAGAAATAATATAAACACAAAGAAAGGAGGGTATCTACTGTTAAAGAGGGAGCATGTACTGGGTACTGAGTGCTGTGGTGCCTTTGTACACACACACACACACACACACACACAAAATGAAAAAGATTTCAAAGAGAGGAAGAAGGGGAATGTGATGTGGGTAGCTGAGGTTGAGACTGAAAACAAGACCTGGCAAACAGCTAGCCTAGGGCCGCCTCTTTAGATGCAAAAAGGAAAGAGCCTAGATGCTCTTATTGGAGAAACTACTGGGTGGAATTCCTGGAGAGGGGAAGACTAGCATTAATTTTACCTACAGCTATAAAACCTCTTTCCTTCCTTCTCTTCCAAAGACTGTTAAGGGGAAAACTAACCAAGCAGGTTTCTACTAAAAGTGTCAGGGAGGGACTATGATAGTCTGTTTACATTATCACAATGAGTGGGGGAACTAAAAACACTCTCTCACCTCCCATTCCACCCCCAAAATGTGCCTGAAGAACACAGGTAATTCATGTTAACAAGAAATATTCGCCGACAGATGACATTATGTGGCTCCTTCAACTTGAAATGTTTAAAGGCAGCTATGTCCTTAAAGCAATTGCTTCTGATTCCTTCCTTCAAAATATAGGTCTCCATTGCCTCAAACTGTCTACCCTTGTTCCCTACCTTAACAGGCAAATTTGGTAAAATGGAATGTCATTTTCCTTCCTTACCATATCCTTAAAGCCTCCCAGGACTGCGGCAGTGATGATGCCCAGGAACAAGCCGACAATGTTGAGGATAGTGGCAGACCAGAGCAGGTGATAGAGGTGGATAATGTCCTGGCAGCTGCTAACATCAATGTATTCATAGTAGCCACCGGTGATCTCCACCCTGCTACATAGAGAGGAGCACACTGCAGTCATTCCTCTGGCAGCGAACTATTCCCACAAAGATTTGGCTACCATGCAGTTCATTTAACAAATACTAGTGGGCAGGTGGGGAGCTGTTGCAAAGGGTATCCTGTTAATGCACTTGGGGAGCAAGAAGACACTGTAATAAATCAAAGTGTGATTGTTGTTTATCTAAAACACAAAACAAAAAATTCTGTAATCATCACTAACACTAATCCTAGAGAACATTTATTGACACTACCTACCAGGGACAGTGCTAAGTATTTTACAGACGTGAATTCCTTAAATCTGTACTGTCCAGTATGGTAGCTACTAGCCACATGTGGCTGTTTAAATTTAAATTAGGCCGGTCTGGGGTACAGAGCTCAAGTAGTAGAGCACCTGCCTAGCAAGAGCATAGGCCTTGAGTTTAAACCTCAGTACCACCACAAAAAAAAACCCTAAATTTTAAGCTAAGTAAAACTTAGAGTTCAGCTGTTTAGTCTCACACACGCTTCAGATGCTATATAGCCACATGTAGCTAATGGACAGAGCAAATTACCAAACATTTCCAGCTATGGGCTGAAAATATTTTTAAAATTGTGGCTGTACTGAATATGTACAGACTTTTTTCTTGTAATTATTCCCTAAACACAAATATAACAACTATTTACATAGCATTTACATTGTATTGGGTATTATAAGTACAATTATTTAAGTACAATTAAATAAGTAAATTATTTAAGATAATTTAAATTATATAGGAGGCTGAATGTAGGTCATATGTGAATATGCCATTTTATATAAGGGACTTGAGCATGTGTGGATTTTGATATCAGTACAGAAGGGGCTAGAACCAATCTTCCCCCTATACCAAGGGACAACTGACATAACTGTATTTGTAGATAGGTCTTTTAGAAGATAATTAAATTTAAATGTGGTCTTCAGGGTGGCAGTTGTCATCTGGTAGGTTTGGTAGCCTTATAAGAGGGAGAGATCTAGAGAGTTCCACCAGAAGCGCCCCTGCTGGCACCCTGATCTCAGACTTCCCAGCCTCTGAAATTGTGAGAAAAGGAATTTCTGCTGTTAAAGGCAGATGGTCTTTGGTACTTTGTTATGGCAGCCCAAGCAGACTAACACATTAACCTTCTCGAATTCCTCTGTAGTCACCCATTGCTATGTGCAATAGCTTTACTGATGTACTAACTTCATTATTCCTTGCCCCCCCACAACTTGAATATGATCTCCATGAGGGCAAGGACTTGGTTAATTTTGCTCACTGACATTTATTTGGTGCAGCATAAATACCTATTGAATTAATTATTTTTTTTTTTTAGGTTTTTTTAAAAATATATTTTTATTTTCAGTTGAAGTAGTAATTGTACCTGTTTATAAACAAAGTGTGATATTTCAGTATATATGTATAATATGTAATGATCAGATTAGGATAATTAATATATCTTATCCCTTCAGACATTTATCGCTTTTGTTGAAAACATTTGGAATCCTCCCAACTAGCTGTTTTGAAATACTCAATTGTTGTTAACCATAGTTCTCCTTGTAGATAAGTTTTTGCTTATCTACATACACATGCTTTATCATTTTGTTTTTTTTTTCTTCTTTTTTTTTTTTTTTTGAAATATTTTTTTATTTTTTTATTTTTTTCATTTTTCTTTTATTTTGAATTAATTAAATGAAAGTTCATAGCCTCCTGGATGCTGCAAAGTAGTTTACAACTTGGCCACTGGAATTGATAATGAATCTGAAATATGGTGGTTCTTAAAATTAAACTCACAACCAAATACCCCAGCATCAGGATGGTTATTACATGTGACTTCTGTTATAAGAACACCAAAAACAAAAAAGAAAAAAAATCAAGTGTTGCTAGGCATTGTGGTGCACATGCATAATCCCAGCACTTGAGAAGCTGAGGCAGGAGGATCACAAGTTTGAGATCAGCCTGGGCTACATGAAACCCTGTCTCAATAAAATCCCTCAAAAATCAAAGGTTAGTCTCCAAAATGAACCAGGGAGAGATTATTCATGTAAGAAAATATTTAAAACTTCACAAATCAATTTATCTTAGAATTTTCTAGAATCAATTTCTCTAAGCAATTGAAATCAGTGTGGTTACAGGACAGACTGGTTCAGAATCATCAGTGTTTGTATCTTTGTGTGACTGCCTGTGTTACTGTGCTATTTATGTGTGCCTATGAGTGTCTCTGGGTGTATTTGTGCAAGTGTTTTGGAGAAAAAGATGGCATGGTCCTAAGCCGGCACAAGTCCTACTGAATCTGACAGAATCTCTGGAGGTAGGACTCAGGAATCTGTGTTAACAAACCCATCAATGTTGGAAACCCACTGTTTCCAATAGTAAGTTTCCAAAATGGAATTTTAAAAGTGCCTCAATTCATCAGAATTTGAATTGAATTTCAATATTTTCAGGAACATGTCTGAAGAGTCCATTCATAAGCATACCTTGAGTGTCTCTTGTGAGTTGGCACTATACCAGTCCTTTGGGACAAGGAGGGAAGGGTGAACAGATTATTTACTGCTCCCAAGGCACAGATGTACAAGAACTAGTCCTTGAAAAGAGCAGGCCTGTGTGTAAGGCTGAATGTGGTATAATGGTGGCTTTTAAATTATCATTGCCTACCTCCTACAACATTAAAGGTGGTAGTACACATGGACAGGCGGTATGCCATAGAAACTCTGGAGTCAAACTGCACTGAAATCCTGGCTCTATCTTTTATTTTCTGCCTGACCCTAAGCAACTTTCTTAACTTCTCTGAGTTTGGGGAATTTAATGATAATATGCATGAAAGCAGTACTCCAGCACATAATATGAGTCCTGACCAAAACACGTAGCTACATTTTGTCCCTTCTAAGAACCACTCTTTGAGAATATAATTTAAATCTTTGAATTCTGTGTTTAAAGGCATTAATACTTTTTAAAACACAGACTTCAACATGGAGATAGGTGAGTAGTTAATTTAAGAATATTCAATAATTTTAGACTGAGAATGGGACTCAGTGGCAGAGCTCTTGCCAAGAATACATGAGTGCCTGAGTTCCATCCCCAGCACTGCAAAAAAGAAAAGCATTCAATAATTTTAGGCAAGCTATGTTTGGTTTGAATTTGAGTGGGTTTACCAGTTATTTAAATTATTAAACTGAACCAGGAAGCAAAAGAAAACTAATGCTTAGATATGATTCAGGTTTTAGCAAATTAATGTGGTTTGTTTCTGTTTGAGATTCATGATTCCATTCGATCCAGTCTCTGGGCAGAGCTTCCTCTGAAATTGTATCTTTTGCATTCCCACCACCCCCTCTCATACCTCTGAGACTGCAAGGCCCTCCTGCCAGACCCTATTGCTGCATGATTACTCTTCCTAAAAAACACTTTTTAAACTAGGACATTCATTTAATCAAAAACCTTTCCATGGCTCTCCACTACCTTCAGGAAAAAAGTGCCTAAAATCTTCTTGTACAAAATGTGGCCCCCAAATGGAGTCTACAGTCCATCTAGTCTTCAGGAGCCCCAAACTGGCTATGCTGAGTACTTATGCCAAACTTTTTCTCATATTTCTCCCCTTTCATAGAAGGTGCTGCCTTCTGTTCTCTGTTTGCCCTAATCTCTCCCACCACTCAAAGCTTCAATAGCACCTTCTTTAAGGACTCCAGTGCCCATTCATTAGCCTTTCCCTGGATTCTCACAGCTTCAGTCTATTCTTTTTAGTTTACCACATTGCATGTCAATCATTTAATTATTCATCTAATCCAATATGTACTGAGAGCCTAATCAGTGCTTTGCACTGTGCTACAACTAAGCACAAGGACACCATGATGTCTCTGTCAAAATTGTAACCTCTTGAAGGCAAGGGTCACCTCTCATATTTCTTTGAGGTTCCCTTACTGCATAGCACAGGGGTAAGATGTTAAAGATCATGGATAAATACTCAGTAAATGAGTTACTGAGTGAAAATGCTGATCATTGCATTGATCACCCAATAGCAACTTGTAACCCTTTGCTCTCCACTTGCTGAGTGGGCCTGAGAAACAGATTACCTCTCTGTGTTTCAGTTGCCACTTAATAGGAGGTAGCAGCAGATCTGGATAAGGCAGAGGGACATGCTTCTGCTCTTCAATAGCGGCCTGGGACTGTTCAGCAATTCTTGGCAGGCAGGCAGTGGCAAGGTGCCACTTCTGTGCATCTCTCTCACTGTATGTGTTCTGTACATTTTTAAGTCCTCCTCCCACAATCTCCCTGGTTAATTGAGTTTCTTAGGACAAAACTATGTCTTGTTGATAACTTTTCCTTGAGAATATCCCTTGGGTGCTGATGGAGTGGCTCAAGTGGTAGAGCACCCACTTAGCAAGCATGAGTCCCTATGTTCAAATCCCAGTACTGCCAAAAAAAGGCATGCAACCAAACAGAAAATCTATGTTTGGTTGGTACCAGTGGGAGGGGGGAGGATGTGAGTAAAGGGTGTAGGAGAGTGAATATAGTGCAAATATTGCATATACATGTATGTAAATGGGAAAATGAGACCTGCTGAAAACATTCCAAAAAATAAAAAAGCAAACCACAGATACATATGTGATGTTTCCACTTAAATAAACTCTGAAACATGCAAAACAAAAAAAGAACAGCTCTTGAAACATAGTAGGAGCTATATAAAAGTTTGTTAAAGGAAGTAATGAATAGAAGTAAGCTGTTTCATTTTGTTTCCAGCTGAGGCAGTTCACAAACCACTCCATTTTCTTTCATTTCCTTTAGGTTATACACTGAAAACCAGTGATATTGACTTGACCTCTCCAAAGATGAGTGAGCAGATGAAAGCCAGAGGTACTCTGAGAGGCAGCTGCTGAAGAGCTGTGTCCTAGAGAAGGCCACCTTCCTGCACAAGGTTAAATAGAATAATCTATGTTTGGTATTAAAAACTCACCACCCATGACGTCAACAAAGATCTGTGGGTTCGAGGGGATAGTAGAAACTCTGTTTCTATAGCACTGTACAAATGACTGCCTGACGTTTTTTTTTCCCACTTTTTTTTTCTTGGCCTCCTTTCCAGGAAATGGACTGGAGAAGCTGGCAATTGATTAAAAATAGGCTTTGTGTGAGGAAAACAAATCTGCATTTGGCAAAATTAAGGTCTCCAAGCCTCAGAATGCTTGTTGCTACTATATTTAGGCCTTGAGTTTAGGTCTCATTGGCTCTGGTTGAAAAGCCTGGGGTCAAGGAATTTTTTTCCCCTCGACTGTGAGACTGTCCCATCTTCACTCTTCATGGCCTGGGTTTATGACCTGCTGAAAAGCTAAGCAAGTCCTTTTCTACTGCCCTTGACCTTGGAATCTTAACAACACAGACTTAGAAAAGGCACTGAGAGATGCTCAGGGCTGGCCTCCAGCCATAAGGTAGGTGAAAGTCATTTCAAGGCTTGAAGATATTTTGGAGTAGTGCTTCCACAACCCCTGTAATTTTCCTAGTCTGGTATTTTCTTTTCCTGGTGAAAGGAAGTTTGTTTTGTTTCTTTTCAACAAATGTCATTCCCTTTTCATAAGCTCTTTACTCATGCCTTGCCCTATGCTGAAGTCAGGGCATATAGATAAGACTAAGTCATGTTCCCTTCACCTTTGGGAGCCCATAGTTGAACACAGATCCTCATAAACTTCTTTTATTAAAAAACAGCACTGGTAGTACTTGCTTTAAAAAGTAAAACAGTTATTATGGAGTTCAGATTGATGTGAAGATAAATAGGGTTTGAGCCTCCATTTTGAAAAAAAAGAAAATATTCGCCTGAAGGCTCAGCTAAATGGAATTTTAAAAGGATCTTGTGTATTCAGTCTTTTCAGAAACACACCCATTGCAGAAAGAAAGGTATGTCTGCAAAGGATCTGTAAGTATTCAGCCTTCTCTGTGGGCTCTCTCTCATCCAGCTCTCAGGCTCCATTCCAGGCAGCTCCCAACCCCCACTCCAGGAGGCCACGAAATAGGAAAGGAGAGATAAGCGGAGACAGAAGTGAGAGGAAAGCAGCAAGGAGAAGAGAGGAAGATAGCAACAGAAAGGATGGAAGAAGGAGGAGATAAAAAGAGAGGGAAGAATGGAGCAGGGAAGGAGGATTAAGAGAGGCAAGAAAAAAAAAGATAGCAAAATAACCCCAATTCACCTATGACCTATTTTATGTTCCTTTGATCATTTCTGGAAGGATGGGCTCAGGAAGTATAATTATAGCCAGCTCTCAATCATCTCTGCTAAGGAGGGAAGTCCTTTACAAGTGTTAGTTTTTATTACAACATGAATAATTAACACCCCATAATCCCTAAGCTTATTACAGTTTTTAAATTTCTCTCTCTCCACCACCAAACCTTTCAAGGAAATGAGACTCCTATTAGCCAAGAAAGGAAAGGGCTGAGGTGAATTCTCCTCCTGCTCCTCTCTGCTTCAGGCCTGTCAGGTCTTAATCCTCAAGCCAGAGAAGCTAGCCCCCAAATACCAAGAGCAGTGAATGTTGGGGGGGAGCTGCACCCAAGTGATGCCTCTAGATTTAGCACCATGCAGCCTCCAACCTCCTCTAATTCCTCCATTACTCCCTCTCTTGGCCCTCAGTGTTCGAACACTAAGAGTCTGAAAAAAATTATGTGTATGGGCAGGCACTGACTAACAACACTTTGTTCCACGTTACCTACGCACACATTGCTATTGATTGCACCTTCTAAATTGCTCTTAAAATATTTCCTGATTTCTACTGCCCCCAAGACAACTTAATCTAAACTCCAGTCTCTGTAGCCTGCTCTATTGCAGTGGATTCCTAGCTGCCTCCAGTTTCTAACCATTCATCTTCCATGCTGTACCTTTCAATAGCTCCCAGTTGTCTACATGGTCAAGTCCAAAGCTATTCCTGTGACCAACAGGCTTTCCAATATCTGACCCCTGGCTACAACTCTGCTCTCACTTCCTACCATACTTTCAATAACTCTCCATTCCTTACCTCCTGACAACTGCTAAGACAATCCTCCCCGCCTTTACCTGCTTTGGGTTGTCTTCTAATTTTCTACTTATCCTTTAGGTTTCAGCCCCCACATCATCTCTTCCTTGACCTTAACCTCTCTTGAAAACTCTTCCTTTCATTCATTTAGGCCACCAGAATCCTCACTACATCCACTAATCCTCATTGCACCTATCACACTATATTGATTTCAATTGTTCATAAGTCTGTCTTCTCTGCTAGTCTTTGAGCTCCACAATGCAATCTCTATATTTCTAGCACCTAAATACGTTTTTAAAGAAATAATAAGTGATATTTTGGCAATTGGAGGGCAGAGAGCCAGATAGTTATAGCAGAACTAGCACTAACCCTGCTCCTGCCTCAGGGACTTTGCACCAACCACTCTTGCTTCCCCAGATGTTTACGTAGGTTGCCTTCTCACTTCATTCAGGTCTGTGTATAAATGTCACCTTCCCAAAGAAGCATTCCCTGGTTACCTGGCTACTCTATCTAACATAAAGCATATTACACACACACACACACACACACACACACACACACCCCACCTCCACCTCCACCTTTCCCGCTTCATTTTTCTTGAGAGCATTGTATTATATATTTGTCTGTTGATTGACTCTCTTCCCTACTGGAATATAAGCTCCATGAGACAAGGACTATTTTTTGCTTGCTGCTGAATCTCCGGTGTCTAGAATAGGGCCAGGCACTGAGGAGGTGCTTAACATTTGTTGAACAATATTCAACAGTGCTGGATTTTGATTCCTAATTCTATCTTTTTCAAGTTCTATTCCACCTTGAGCTACTTATCTCTTTCCTCTGAGGTTCACTTTGCTCATCTGTAAAATGAGGATAACTCTGTATACTTTGCAAGTAAGAATTAAATGAGATCAAGTATGTGAAAGTACTTAGCATGGTGCCTGGCACAAAGAAGGCAGGAAATGCAGGAATTTCCTGGAAATCTGAAACTGTAATCTGTTGACAGACCAATGTCATCTACTTCTCTGATCCCTACCATGTACTCTTCTCTACCCTTGGCTCTTCTAGTATTCATTGTGGTCAAACCATTATTCCTGTGCCTGAAGCTCATACTTACTTGCCACAGTTGTAGAGGTCACAGCAGAAGCAGGTGTTACCCCGGATGCGAGGTGTACAGAATCCACGGCTGAGGTGAGGACAGTTCACCTGAGGGTACAGAACAGTAAGAAGATGATGCCTCATCTGGATGGCAGGAAGGACCCTATGAGACTGGAAATATGAGTTAGTGACTGATGGAGACAGAAAGGATGGCTGTGAAATGAATACATCCATGAATGAGAGGGATGGGGCTTAGCAGGGAAGTGGCCAACTTGTACATGAGGCAAGTAACTTAGTGTACCTGGACTTGTGTTCAGCCTTAGCCATAACCCTTAGTGCCCCATCCCTGAAGGGTAGAGATGGACAGGAGGAAGGATAGATGGAAGGACAGACAGAAGAACAAATGGACAGTAGGGAGTAATGACAGGAAAGGAGGGGAAAGCAGGGTGCAGGAAGAAAGAGGATAAGGCGGGAAGGAAGACAGAGTGGACATCACATGCACTCTGAAGTACAATAGTACCTCTCTAGCTGCCTGGGTAAGGTTCCTCATAACCCTCGCAGAAGGAGAATTTTTGGCTGAGGAACTTATGACCTTACATAGGAAAAATAGGGTTAGGGGGACCAGGATTACAAGCAAACCTATAGAAGTCATTATAAACATCTTTACAGTCACCAAGTTAACACAAGAAAGCTATCACAATGAAATCAAGAGAATAGCTATGGCAGTTTACACACTTTAAGTTTGCAAAACATTTTTAAAAACAAAAATTAATTTCCATTTACCATCTCTTCTTTGGAAGAGATTTTCCAGTTTCCCTCCCCTATCTGGATGCAATGGAGTGTTTTACTTTGTTATAAAGAAAACTCACAGTAAATAGGCACTTTTTTTCTATATTGAGTCCTTCATCTAAATACTAACTGCCTTTCTGATAAAGTGTTAACACATACACATTTCTATTCCTCCTCTCTAACCCAAGAATATTCATAAAAATAGTAACTGTGTGGTTGATAACAGAGAAAAGAGACAAGTAGATAACAGAACCATAATAAAAGTATTTACTATGATGCCTTGGGAACAGGACTATCACTCTGATTAACTACAGGGGCAACATTTACATCGTATATTATGTAAAATGGCTTCTCCTGAAGTTGTACAATGCAGTGATCATTTTGCCTCCACTTGCCTTCCCTTTCTCTTTCAGATCACAAGGTTTTTTTTTTTTTTCTTCTAACTATTTTCAGTGGGACTTACTTTCACTTTGAGGTTAATAGAATACCAAATTGTTAAGATTCCTGAAAACATAGGTAGAGCTTCCTTCGAAGGAATCTCTGGGTTAGAGAGGGATTGTGGTGTACTGAAATGGAAGCTCTCCAAAAATGTCACTGCCCATTGCCTCTAGTTCTATTTGAGGCAACATGGAACACAAAGAGAGATGTGTGGGGCAGGAAAGTGATAGTCTCATGTGCCTACTTAAGGATTATTAAGCTGGGTTCTTGGTGGTGATATGAGAGGGGCCAGGCTGACAGTCTGGGCCTCTCTAGAGCTTTGAGGTATACCAGGCTGCTCAGTTATCCTCATTTGTCCTCCAGGCCTTTCCAGGCTTTGCCTCTTTAGTCTAGGCCTAATGCCTTGGTGGGGCTCCAGCTTTCTTTTAGCTGGTCACTAAATCTAGGCAACTGAATCATTATCCACAGAAGAGGAGCATGCACTGTAGTCTCTATCTCTCATCTGTACCTTTTGGCATCAAAGACACACACTGGGAGGCTGCTAGTTAGGGTCATAAGGGCATCCTGTGGCCACAGAACCAAGTAAATCTGATTAGGCCTCACGAGGCTCCAACCTATGACCATGGCCTCATCAGCATTGTGCTCTGACCCACCGAACAAATCAGCTAAAGACACTTGGCAGTAAATTCAGGCTCATGAAAAGGAATAAAAGAAAAGGAGTTTCAGACAAGAAGGAGACTTTCCTGAGAGGTAAAGACATGCAGCCTCATTCTGGCTCACCTCCTCAGCTTCTTTCTGGGATGTCTTGGGGACATAGTGGCACCGGTTAGCATAGAGTGGTTTCAGATCCTGGAGAAGGAAAAACCAAACCAATGGGGTTTTGGTTTAGGAAAATAAAACAAGAGCCCTGTTTGGTAATAAATTATTTGAACACACACACACACACACACACACACACACACACACATACACACACACACATACATACCAAGTAGTAGGTTGAGTTAATTTCTGAAAGTTGCTCACCTAAGGAGCCTGAGAACATAAGGATCAGACAAAAATGTTCTAATAACTGTTTTCTATTGAATTACTTAGTTAATGAGAATTTAGGAAATTGGCTGAGAAACAAGTTACTTGAAATTTCCCCTCTGTTCTCTTTTATTGTTAGTCTTTGTCTTCTTGCAAACAGTCCCCAGGGAATAAGATTCAAAATTCCAGGTTATTGCAACATTACACTTCCAAAGAGAGAGAGCACAGCTCCAACAATGAGGTCTCATTATCACCTGGGGACTGGTCGAGGGCTGGCTGACTTGTACTTCCTGCTGTCATTTCCACAGCTTTTCAGAAGGAAGAACTCCTGGAGGAAGGGCAGCTACTGAGATTGCTGTAGGTTCTAACTCCATTGAACTATATGAGGTATTTCCCTCACCTACACAACTTAGATAAAGCCACTGAACTCTGAAAATACTCTCAAAGCCTAGAAAACTAATGTGGAGCTCAAAGACAGTTGATTTACCCTGCTGGCTTAGGATGGTGAGGGAGTGCTCAGGCATGAGGGTTGAGAAGAGCAGACAGACAAAAGCCAGGGATGCCTCAAACTGTAGCCAGGAGATGCTGTCACTTTCAGAGCTGATGCTAAACATCCCCTGAGTGGTAGAGGGCTTAAGCCAAAGTCAGTTAGGACAAGACAATAGTTTATGCAAATTAACCTTAGGGGTTTGGTCCAAGAGCCCAGGCAGAGGAAATTTATCTTTTGCCTCTCTTCTTTCTGCCTCCACTTCTCTTGCTGTCTCCAATCCTGTAGCTGCTTTTTCACACACATGTGATTTAGAATTTCTTGTACTTAGCACTGAAGAGCCTCCTGCCTCTTAGCCAGTGCCTTCATAAAGGGCCTAGGACTTTCCATCAGCTCTTTCTACATGGATTCTCAGTGTTGTGAAAGTACATTGCCATTAGCTCAATCTGGAGTCGGGCTGGAAAAGAATGAGGATTCCCATGCTTACAGCCAGCAGAGTTTATTTTCCATGTTTGGGTAATAGCAGAATCATTATTATTCTACTGAAGAAGAGGCTTAATATGCTGGTCATAGCCCTCATGATCTTCTGGTTTCTCAAAAGGCATTCAGTCACCATGTGCCCTAAATGAAGACAGACATCTATGCTGATCTCCCATTTGCTGATTTTGACTCCTGGTCTTCATTGAGAGCCAACAAGAGAAGAAAGAGCAGGCAATTTGGAAGTGAGAAGAGGTCATTCAGCTAAGGCTTGCAACCTCTTTAACCTGGAGAGCCACCAACTTCTGTGGGAAGGGATGGAAATGGAAACTGCTTTATGTTGAATATCTACTCTGTGCCAGGCCCTTGTAGGGCATATTCACAGCCATTATTTAATTTCATCCTCATGCTGATTCTGAAAGGTAGGTTATTATTATATACATTTGGAAGAGAAAGAAACTGTGGCACCGGAAAGTAAAGCGACTTTTTCAGCTTGTGATTGGCCATAGGCAAGAAAGTGGGAAAGGAGGGAAATATGAAACAAAAAAGGGAAAGAACAAGGCACATATACAGGGATGTGTGAGAAGGTAAGTTTAAAAGGAAGTTCAGATACACTTAAGGCAAAGAAACATGGCAAGATAGTAAAGGGCCTCAACAACATGATAGGCTGGTTCTAACCACCCAAGTTGTGCTAGGGTCCAAATGTGCCTTTCATTTAACTTGGCTAACAGACATCACCATCAGCTAATAAAATCTCCTTTCTCAAAACACTTCAGGTGCCAATAAGGACTGTCAGATGACTTAAGGCGGGTGCAGAGTAAGAAGAATCATTTATCCAGCCTTATGCCAAATTTCTGGATCAAGTGCTGTAATACAAATACTACCTGCAGGTTGTACAGAGGGACCTAGATTTAGAGGCAAGTACGTAGCCATAATAGGAAAATTTTCAGTAAATAGAAATTGGGCTTTTTCCCATTTCCTTTCACTAAAGTCAATGGTCAAAAATGTTAGGAGTGTTGGAAATTCAAATTGAAACATAACGAGATACTGCCTCATACCCAACTAGTTGGTGAGGATGTGGAGAGATCAGAATCCTCATGCATTGCTGGTGAGAATGCAAAACAGCCACTTTCAAAAGGTCTGGAAGTTCCTCAAGCAATGAAATATAGTTATCATATGGCCAAGCAATTCCAATCCTAGATGTAAAGGAGATGAACACGAAAACATATGTTCATGCAGAAACTTGTCCAGGAATGTCTATAGCAGCATTATGCATTATAGTAAAAAAATGGACACAACCAAAATGTCCATCAAATGGAGGATGGACAAATAAAGCGTAGCATATCCACACAATGAAACCTGTTAAGCCATAAAAACATGGATAAACCTTGAAAACATTATAGTAAATAAAAGAAGCCAATCACAAAAGTCCACATATTAAAGGATTCCATTAGAATGAAATGTCTAGAATAGGGATATCTACAGAAAAGGAAAGTATATTAGTGGTTGCTTAGGGCTGGGGAGAATGCAGAGGTAGGGATGTAAAAGGTCAAGGATATGGGGTGCGTTTTTTTGAGATGATAAAAATCTCCTTAAATTAACTGATGGTTGCACATAACTGTGAATATACTAAAAAACATTGAATTATCCTCTTTAAATGAGTGAGTTGTACAGAATATTAACAGTATCTCAATAAAGGTATTTTTTAAATATTAGGAGTGGAAGGAGGGAAAAGAAGGAAGCCATTTTAGTTCATGATGCCATCAAAATCTCCTGCAGGCTTCTTAGCCAATAGGCCTATGTTGCCATGGAGACTGCCTCAGAATGAATACTGCTCGTCAAATGGGGATAATAATGCTTGCCCTACATATCTCAAAGGATTGCCATGGGTCTCAAATGAGATAATAGATGTGAAGACACATTAAAAAGCTAAATGGACTACACAAAAACAAGGAATTAGTGTTATTAAGATGGCTCCTATTGAATACAAAATAGCAGGCATACTATGATTGACTACAACTATGCTACAAAAATAGGCATATATTCAGAGGGTAATATGCAAAGAACTGTTACACTAGGTTGATAGAATTGTAACTGATAAGGGTTACTGATGTGTCATTTGCCTTTTTAAGAAGGAAAAAATGAATGCTCTCAGCTAAAATGAGAAGGGATAAGTCTGAACTTATATTTATATTCCTGGCCCTGAAAGAAAATCAAGCAAAGGTCCTGTCTCTCCCACCTCTTATGTTTTTCCCCTGCCCATAAATTGTTTCCCGAGACACTCTTTCAGAGACTAGGTGACAGCATTGACCATGTGAGTTCCTTAATCTTGGTAAATGAGGAACTGACTCTCCTGTCTGAAAAGAGGATCCAAGAAGGAGCTAGAATTAAAATAATGATGTCTCAAATAATCCTGACCAAGATCCAGCCATACCCTTGACACTTTCTCAGATGACCTTAACAATTAGCCAATCACTACAATGGAATAAAACATCATTTGACTCACAGAAAATTCTGACAATTTAATTTTGTTCTAATTCAGTTTAAGAAACATAATTACCAATAGTAATGAGATATTTCTATCTTCAAGATTAGTTCAGTTAAAAAACATGGCCCATTGAGTTTGTTATGGGGACTCAATAAGTTGCTGTGGCTCACTCTTGATTTTGGCCAGATCAGGACTACTTTATGGTTCCCTAGGCCCAAGGCACTTTTGTCTTTGTGGACTCCTTCTTCCATTAAAAAGTATTTTTAAATGATATTTTATTTTTGTTAACTATATTTTATGACTGCATTGGTATAAAGACAAATATATTTATATTATATACTAGTATGTTTTTCAACTTAAAAATTTATCATATTTTCTTCCTATTTGAAAAGAAATAGGCCCTTAAAGTACTATGGGTCCTAGGCACTTTGCTCACCATGCTTAATTGGGAAGTTGGCCCTGGGCCAAACATCTGAAATAGCATGAAGCAGAAAGCATTAAAAGAGGGACAAGGGCTCACTAGCCCTGTTGTAGGAACAGCAAAGTTTGAGTATCTGATGAAAGGTGACTCTCTTCTCACAATCTGCTCTTGTAGCTGTTAAAGGAAAAGTCAGCCACGGAAAACTTCAATGATTACAGAAAATCATGTGGCTCCCTGTTGCTCTCCTTCTACCCTCAAAACTAGTTCCAAGTCATTCCCTTGTCCCTAACCTTTGTTGCATTTCTAAATATTACATATATGTCAAAGGCCTAGCTCTAACCCTTCCACCACTGGAAAGCCTTCCCTGACCTCTGCAGTCCAAGTCAGATTTGAGTTTGTACTGCCAGTTTGGATTCAGTTCTCTAGATGCTTATGTATCTTTGGTGTTCTCACTCTGACTGTCAGCTCTTAAGGAAAAGGACCCTGCCTTCAACCTTGTATGTATCCCTCAAAGCCCTAAGCACAGCAATGTTCAGCGCTAAACATCCAGCACACATTCAATGGAGCCTTTCAGTGTTGCACATTTACTTCAACCCAGTGCTAATAATACTTACAATGTGTCTGGCAGCAAAGACCCCATCAACTATGGCACAACAAAAAGCCGCAATCACACCAAAGCTAATAAACACGATAGAAGCCACCAGCTGCAGAAGAAAACAAAAGTGTCTGTTAGCCTTCTACTCTCTCTGCTTCTAGAGACTAGGTGACCCCCAAGAGACTTCCAACCAAAGCAGAAGTCTAGCCTACCACCAATGGGGATGCTCTTTTCAGTCACGCAGGATGAGTAGAAGTGAGGGTAGGTGAGGAGGGAAAGAAGGAGTAACTGAAGCACTTTTATATTTTTAGGAAACACTGAGAAATTCACCCAGTAGGCACCAAATGATAAGAAGGCTTGCTGGTGTCCAGCATGCCGTCCATAGCGGCATTTGACTGCATTGCTCTTCAGAGCATCCTGAGACTCAGAAAAGTATTGGATCTTTGATATCACGTAATCCAGCCCTCAATTTTATTTACATGAAAATGGAGGCACTGTCAGAGGAAGTGGTGTTCCCAGGGTCTCCACCTAGTCTATGCTAGAGTCTGGTCCCAGGAACTCTATTCCAGCATTCTTTGTACCCCTAACACTGGTACTTGATGGCATAGTTAACTCTGAAGATGAAAAGAGTGATTCTGAGGCCTGATTCTGATGGTCTTGTGCATCATTGAAGAAAGAGGACATTCAACTCGCTAAAACTTAAATGTTAGAGACATTTTACAAAGGTTGAAGTCTGTGAAACTGATCAATTCTATGTGATATTTACAGAAATTTTGAATAAATTTTTTGCTTGAACCAGACTTCCCTATTTATTAATCATGTTAGATGACAGAAATTTTCCTAAAATATTATCTTCTATTACTATACTGTAACCAAATGTATTGCCTTGAGGTATTTCAAGGTTCCTCAAAGGCAAGGATAGATGCTGCTTGAGCCACTGTCACTTGGTTTTGTTCACTCTTAGAACTACATGGAATTAGCATTCTTCTTTCTTAAAGTTTTTTTTGGGAGGGGGAGGGCAGAAGAGGTGGAAATATTATGACATCAAGCTATTATCCAGGGGGAAAGAAGAAACCAAAGCCAAGGACACCCTAGGGTTCTCCCACTTCAGTAGACTAGAAGGAAATACTTTCCTCCTTTGGGAGTTATTCATAAACCTCTCTCCATAAATCTCACTTCACATCACTACAAATAATTGGTAAATAATGGATGAACGATGTCATGAAATTGGCAATATTAGCTGCTATGATCAGCTCTACAATTAAAACTCCTCCATTATTTTGAATAATTTAGGTCCAAAGTGCAAACACAACTGGCAGGGAAGAGAGTCCAGGTGAAATGGAAGAAGAAAACTATTAGAACTCCCCTGAGAGTGATTCCTCATGTTGCTGGAGGAAAAACATATGGTTAGTGTTCTCTGTCCCTAGAGCTATTATGTTATCTGATTAAGCTTGCTGTTAAATAGACCCCATTATTGAAGTTTTTGTGCCATAAAGACTCATACAGGGAGAGCCTAATCAGTCTACCATCTGACCACTCACCAGGCTTCTTGATTTATAAGTCTATAAAACTGCAATATGCTTGCAATTCAGTCTATACCTTCTATCCTTGCCCTTGAGGAAGCCTCAGATTGAAGGAGAAAAATACAATAGCTTGCCCTTGGAGGATCCCAATTGAACATCAAACATTCTGAGCTTCACCTTCTGTAATATGCATGTTCATCCTTCCTTTCCACCTTACAGCACACTTGACTTGAAACCATGGGTAATGGAACCATGGGTAAGGGAAATATTTTAGGTTGGCCTCTTAATTTTATTTTGTGGGTTTTTTTGTGCCCCAAATATATTTGTTTTCTTAGTCAAAGTCCTTAGATTATAATCTCCTAAAAGGCAGGAGAAACTTCTGTGAAAACCATTCCAAAACATTATGTATCAGAAAAGAAGATGTAAGAATCACCAATAATTCAGTGCTGGAGTAATGGAAATTACAGAAGGAAAGGCATTCCTGGTAAGGACAACAATCTGAGTAGACAGTTTGGAGCACTCCTTTGAGAGTGAGGAAGAAAGCAAATGGTAAGATCCAGAATAATCTATCCCTGTGGCTTAAGGAGAATAGCTATGAAAGTAGACTTGAAAACAAGTGCCATACCACAGGCTCACTATAACACAAGTTCTCTGGGGCTTAGGAGAAAACACAAAGTAGCAGTTTCTTTTGTGGCCAAATATGCACAAGTGTAAGAGATGTGTTACTTATCCACATAAATGTTGAGATTTTTCAAATGAAAATAGTATGGGATGAAACTTACCATCTGCCGCTTATTCTCAACAAGGTTTGATCCGATAATTCCAAGAAATGATCCAAAACCAAGCTGTAAAGCAAATTGCATACATGTGAGAAGACAGCCTAACCATATAATCATTCCAGCTCCTAGATATGATTCAGTATCCCAAACACATGTGTATGACTACAAATGCTAAAACCATGTATAGTTGCTTATACAAATATAGTGTTACAATGAAAGTATTTTTCCCACTGTTTGTCAATTTTTCCTTGAAGCAAGGAATCACACCTAAAAAGAAACTTGTGTCCAAAACCTAAAAGTAAAGGTCAACTACAGCTTTTCAGAGGCTCCTATTTCAATTTCAACATCCATTTTCTAGTATGGGACTGGTGAGTCAGTTAGAGACATATAATAGTGAAAGGCACACATTATATTCTAATCTTTATGAGTTTTTAAAAAGACCTTCCATTCTTAAGCATGGGTTACAGAATAAAGGCTTGCAATAGCAATTTTTTTCAGTGCTGGGGTTTGAACTGAAGGCCTTTACCTTGAGCCGCTCCACCAGCCCTTTTTTGTGTTGGGTTTTTTCAAGATAGAGTCTCACAAACTATTTGCCCAGGGATGGCTTCAATCCAAGATCCTCCTAATCTCTGCCTCATGAGTAGCTAGGTTTACAGGCATGAGCTACCGGCGCCCAGCTGCAATAGTAATTTTTGATGCAACTGACATACTAATCAAACTCAGGATGTCCTTTAGAAATCAGCAAGCATCTTAACCCACACTAAAAAATAAAAATTAAAAAAAACTTTTTTGAAAGCCTGTATTTGTGGTTGACCCACAGCAATTTATGTTAGCACTTATTCACCTCTTCTTCCATCTCTGCTTCATTTATGGACAGAAAGCATTCATTAAAGGGTGAACAGAAATGGCAGTGTAAAACCATGAAAAACAATTTCCCTGTCTAAGTGGCTGGAATTATGGTTCAGTGTAGCACATCCCACTGCCTTCTCCACTCTGCCATTAGACTGAGCCTGTCAGTCTCTGCTGAAAATGATCGCTAACCGATAGCTATTGATGGAGATGAAAATGGAAGAAGTAAAAAGTGGTGAGAATGGACCAATAAATCTTAACACAAATTCAGTGATGTAGTTACATTTCTCTTTAGCCTCACTAATAGTCTGGGTTTCCATCTGCACCCTTACCTTGGCTCACAAAAGCATCTGTTTCAGTTTAACACCCATAAGCCTTATACCTAGGCTTGGAAATCTAATGAACCCAAGGGCTGGGCTTGGTGGAGCAGTTTAGGGAAACTGAGTGGTTGTCTCAGGATTCCAAGAATAAAAGAGAATGACAGGAAGCAATAAACGCAAATTTCCATGGATTCCTTTTGCAGAGCCATTCAGACAGCAACCACTCTTGGGAAACAGAAGCTAAAGTACACAAATGTATATATCATGACATCCAAGACTACTGAGAAGATCCTCATTCAGCAGCTAACCTGTGTCAGTCTCTCACTTAGTCTTATTTCAAATATAATTAAAATGTACTGCCATGAATATACTGATTAAAACATTGTGATCACAGTTGCCTGGCTTGTATCCCCAGACCTTCTATTTATGCCTGTGCAATCTTGAGTGAATTGATTAACCTCTCTAAACCTGTTTCCTTATCTGTAAAACAGGGACCGTAATAGCACTGCCTTCTAGGGCTTTTGTGAGGATTAACCAAGATGATACATTCAAAGAACTTTGCATAGTGTCGGCACACAGTAAGTATTCAGTAACTCAGTAAATATTATTTTGCTGTAGAGATTATTACTATTCTAAAATACATTTAACTTTTGAGCCATACTAACTTGACTCGTGCTGGAAAATCCTATCAATATTTTCTCTATTTCACAATAGGAGAGTTTCCTCTATTCTGACTTATCTCTGCCTGCAGTATATTTCACAGATTTTATTTTTCTTAGGGAGGAATTCTGTGAATAATCTGTGCTTATGGTACTCTTCGTCATTTGTGGAGATTGAAAGAAATTTGAGTGCAGCCACTTACAAGGGAAAATAAGTTGTTTTACTAAAAAGTTCATTAGTTTCCACAGATACTCACAGAATATTTCCTAATCTCAACAGCAATCTTTTTCCTAACACAGGCAGCAAAGCCACTGTCTATTCCTGAAACTCTCAAATGGCAGTGACCAAAAGAGGTAGGCTGAACTCTGTAGAATTGACTAGAAAGACAAGACAATTCAAAACTAGAAATTCCAGGCCCACCAGTTATTTCATCTAGTTCCCCCACTGCAATTAATTTTATTCCTCTCCAATCCATTTAATTTGCTAGCATCCACTGAGGACCTTTCTGTAAAATATATAAGAAGACATTGTCACTGCTCTACAAGAGCTCATAGTCTTGTGAGGGGGAGACAGACTGTGGATTAATGGCTAAAAGGTAGGTAAAAACAAAGTGCCTGTATAAACAGAGAATAATTCATTCTGGATTATATCCTTGTTTCTGCTACCTATAAACTGTGTGGCCTTGGGATAGTCCCTTAACCACTCTGCGCCTCCATTTCCTCATCTATAAAATGGGATTCATAACAGCACCCAACACATAGGGTTGCTGTGTAGATTGAATGAGGTAAAGTATATATAGCATGGCTTACAGAAGATAGGTTGCTAAATAAAAGATAGCTCTAAGTTTTCATAGAGGAGACATTTTATATGGGCTCAAAGGATGGGCAGAGTTCAACAGGTAGTATATCTTGAGTGATGCCTGAAAGAATTCATTCACATGGATGGCAGGTGGATGAACTTACCAGTGTTTCTAAAAACACATCATGTTTGAGGCATATTAAATTAAAGAAGCAATTGCCCACCATTTTGGTCACAGGAAGATTATAGAATTTGGAGGAGCTATTATAATCTATTTGATAGATGGGGGCTTAGAGAATTGTAAGGACTTGTCCCCTCTCAGAGAAAGTTAACAGCAGGGCCAGGACCAGCCCTCAGGTCATCTTATTAACAGCTAGTATTCTTTCAGCCACATCTGGCTGCTTTTGTGGTCAGTATTAGTAGAGTAGTGACTTTCAAGGAATAAGGGACTTATTGTTGTCCCACCCCAGGGGAAAAGCTCACTGCAGGAATGGAGTGAGTCCTATTTCAGAAAGAGCTGGCTGAGGGGTTGAAAATAAAGGGTACCAACAGAGTTTCTTGAAAATGGGCAGCTATATCTAATCGATGATTTGCTTCTCTGAAACCGCAGAAAGGTAAGCTCTGTGGTTCTCTATCAAGAGCTTCAGCAAATTCTGTAATCTTCAGAACTTTGAATTTCCATCTCAATTTTCTACTACCTGAACAACCAACCAACCTGCTTTGTTTTGACTGCCTCCTACTTGTGAAATAAAAAAGATAAATCATTAGAAGTCAGAATCAGATTGAAGGGCTCTTTTTGGGCTAGACCTTATCACCTGTCCCTGTTCCCATACACTCTATCAGACACTCAAGGATGATACTCAGAATAATTAGTCATTTAGTAAATATTAACTAGATTTCTACTCTATGGCAGGTACTGTGTTTGATCTGTGATTTGGAGGCTAGGAGTTGGGGTGGAGTATGACGCCACAACCAATAAGATTTAGGCTCAAGGAGCTAATGCTATAATTAGGTAAACCAATCCACAATCTCTTTCCATAATCTTGAGATCCACAAAAATCTTAAAACCAAAAGGGTTTTCTGAGAAGTAGTTTGCTGGCAAAGCCTGATCTTGAACTAATGTTCAAGATTTTTTATAATCTTTATTCCACTTCATGTAAAAATTCATGTTTTACTATAGGAAATATGAAAGAATATGATTATGGGGTGCTTCTTAAGGATGCCCTGGAATGTTTGATGGTGTATTCACTGCATAATTTTTCTAATATAAAAAGTCTAAGTCCTAAATCACATCTGGCCCAAGTGCTCAGATAAGGGATTGTGGACCTGTACAAACAAAGCTAAATGAGAATATGGCCCAACAGGTGCTATAAAGCAAGATATGAGGATTTTCCAGGAACTATGAGTAGTAGGAATCTACAATAGGGAGTTCAAAGATGGTAGACACCACTGTGAACATCAGAAATATTTCTGCTGTGTCTGTAAGTTGAGGTGGGACATTTGGCGAACAAGGTAAATTACAGCACTAAGGCAGAAAAGCCCAAGTGGTGTTCAGGGGACTGTGTCAATCTTGACAAAAGTGAAGAAATGGGCGTCTAGGTTAAGGCTGCACAGAGCTTTGAATGGCATGCCAAGGAGGTAACAGGGAACCAATAGAGGTTAGAACCTTGTGGCATTATAAAAGTCTTCTTGAAGAGTACTTTTAAAGTGGATTTGTTTCAATAAGCTGCTAATTAATTTACACTTAGAAATAATTTAGTTTGATTTTGATCAGATTTTGACAGGAACTTATTTAAGATTTTATTTTTATGTTTTCTTAAGAAGATACTCTAAAAACAAAATAATGCCAAGTCAGTGAATCTGTTCATTGTATAGATTATTCATTGATGTGTTTCTCATGTATTTTGTTTTATTATTTGATGTTTTAGATTTTTAAGAATCCAGTGGCTATTTGAACCTATTATCTAATTTTGAGCAATAATAAACGAAGTATTAACTAGTTAAAAAAAAGGTGTTATCCAGAAAATTGGGTTTCAAGTCTCATCTTTAAAATGTATGAAGTTAGGAACTTATATTTTAGAATGAACTTTGATTTTAAAAATATTTACAATATGAAGTGGGGAAGGTCTCTAATTTGCCATAAACCACAAAATCTGACTATCCAGAACTCCTTGTATTTCTTCAGCATTCAAGTTAATCAAAGCTTTTTTGGACTTATCAAGATAAGTCCAACAAAGTTGAAGCCATATTGGCCTAGAGCAGGTTTCTAGACTACTGAATGTTACCTGTTGCCCCTGTCTCCTAATATCCCATTGTAACTGTACTTAATTTTTAATACTCCAGAAAAAGAAGCAGAAACTCCTGGTTTCTCTCCTGAAAGAAAATTCAGGATAGTATGGGCCCTGACAATACAATAGCTGAGAAGAGGGTGCCAGAATGAAAGGCTTGCCACACTCATCAGGGGGTCAACTCCATCTTGTTGGTTGCTTGAGAACACATTTAGGGGCCTTTTGCTCCTAGATCTGAGGTGACAGGAGGTTTAGAGGGAAGGAACAATCTTCCCTCTTTCAGCTTCATGTAGTATCAAAGCCTCTTGGATTTTTAGGCTTTCAAAGTGGAAAGTTCACCAGAACTTTTCTGGCATGGACTATGTCTTGATTTTTCAAGGATAGCAAAAATATTACTCCAGTTTGTCTTTCTTTGTTGGTTTTCATCTTTTAAAATGTTATAGTTCAGCCTATACAGATTAGCATATTTTTTTAAGATGCAGGTGCATTTGTCTTAGGTAAAGTATGTCAAGTAGAGTAGCTAGCATGCTATTATAATGCACTTTGCTATACAAGAGCCTCTGGCTTAACAAAATAAAAATGCCTCTGAAAAGTTTCACATGACTAAAAGTTATTCAAATTGAATTACATTTTAAATGCCAGAGATCTCAATATTTAAATGAATTGTATGTTAAGACTTCTTTTACTCTAATAATGTCTCCATAATTTGTTTGAACATTTAAATTCTAATGTATTGTTAACACATTTAACTGGAGTCCAAAATAGCAGAGTCTGAATAGCCTGAAAAATTTCACAGTTCTATGCAATAATATTTTATATTCAAAGTGACCAATTTGACAGTGCATAATCTTAAAATGCTACATTATGCTCCTTCTGGTTTTATTGCTAAGCATATTTTATTGTGTTTTAGTTCTTCAAGTGGTTACACCCACATTAGATACCCCTGGAGTGCTTAGTAAAATGTAGATTTAACATACATTACTTTTTCAATCAAAGATTATCTCATGAAAAGAAAATTGACATTTACAGTCCCCACTCAGAATCATTATCTCTAGGAGTAGGGAGGTGAAATCTACATTTTTCACAGATTCAACAGGTTATTCAATTAACATTGGGGTGGGAAAACCAATGGCTTAGAGTTTATGTAGTAGTTCCCTAATAACCTAATTATTCAAGTATTCTATTAGTGAAAGCCCCCATTCCTAGACAAAACTGGATTCTCAAGTCTATTTACTGTTGCAGAGGTAGGAGTTACTTGCTATAATGTGCTCTGACCTATACACTCAAATGGATTTTTTGATTCTTCAATCTGCTACCTTCTCCCTTTCATTCTTTATAATTAAAACCCATTTTAAAGAAATAGTCTACAGGAAGTGGGAGAGCAAATTTTTAAGGCTAAACCAGGGGGGCACACTGTTGGCTTGGGATGGCTCCTCTATTAAACACTTCCATGTTAGCTTTTACTGAAACCCACACACTTGGACACAGGCCTCCACTGCTTCAACTTCTAGTGCTAGCTGAACATCAGGTACTTGAATAACAACAATTATGAGCCCTCACTGCCTTGTTAATGTATTCCAACCTTGCCACCCACAGTAAGATATTCTACAGAGAAGGTTCATGGCCACTGTTCATGAATAGGAGTTTGTACTCTTAAATAAATGGAAAATACCTTCCCCCTCACCCACAGAGACTCTGAATCTTGGCTTAAGCATTTGCTCATCAGTCAGAAAAATATTTTACTGGTGCAGCTACCTGAAACACACAAAGTCATACAGATCCTATAAATTGCTTTCCAAGCCACCAAAATGCTCTTAACCCCTCCTTTCCTCTCCCCTCCTTTTTGCGTTTAAAAATAAAACCCAATTCTGCTGACATTGGTTTTTCTTGCCTCACCACAGGAAGTGGACTGGGTGAGTTCTCACATCGCATGTTTAACAGAGGGCATAGAACACCAACTGGTGTCTGTGGGACACCTGCCCTAAGCTGGGGAGAGCCTAGGTAGCCCAAAAGCTGCAAAACAACTTCCCCCAGCAGCTTTCAGCTCCAGGGAGGTACAGCCCAAATCTTGCTTCACATCTAGCGCCCTCTTGGAAAGGGTTATTGAGGAGGCAGACTGTGAAATGGAATTGGTGACCTAAGCAACAAGCTCCAGGCTTGGTCACTCACAACACTGGCTTGTCAAAGGCATAGTCTTTAATCCTTTTTCCTCCCATTCTGTCTATCCAGCTAAGAGAGAGAGAGAGAGAGAGAGAGAAAGAACACAAAAATACATCTGACCTTTTTGTAATAAAAAATAAATCACTCTAAACTTCCTTCCTGCTCTCTAGCAATTGGTGAGCCATTTAATTGATATTTAAAGTATGATCCAACCTCTAGAATTAAGTTTTTGGGTTCAACAGCAGTGTCCATAGACCCAAATGAGGTCTGTTATCCCATCTGGTAAGTGAGATTACTTTTATGCAACAAATTTAACTGTCTCTAAAAGTGGATTGCATGCACCCTGAGGGTGGAAAAAAATCCATTGGAATATGTAAAGAGTCCATTAGAACTTCTGTTTCTTATTTATTATCTGAAACAAGAAGAAAGAAATTGTTACTAATATTCAACAAATGTACTGTCACTGCTGCCCTCCATCTGTGAATGTCAGATGACCAGGAGAGCTATCTTTTAGGAAGAGGGCAAGCTCCTAGCAACAAAGGGTTGATGGTGAAGCATTTCATGGATGCCAAGATTATATGATACAGTTTTAACTAAACCAGTCTCAATTAAATGGACAAGGAGTTTGGGAAGTTTCCTATTGGAAAGTCACAAATTGAAGATGACCTTAATAAAGTAAGCACAAGTGAGCAACAAGAAAATGGCAGAGCTGATACTTCTAACTTCTAGGGTAAGCTTTCTGTCAGACACATTGTAAGATTTGCATTTTAAAAGATGGTTCTTAGGCTAGGCTCAGTGGCTCATTCTTGTAATCCCAGCTTCTCAGGAAATGTAAAAAAGTTAGTGAGGATACCCCCAACTCAACAAATAAGCTGGGTGTGGTTGTATAAGTCTATACACTGAAATCCCAGCTACCCAAGAGGCCATAAGTAAAAGGTTCGCTTTCTGATGCCAACCCCAGGCAAAAACAAGAGACCTATCTGAAAAACAGCCAAAGCTGAAAGGTCTGGGGGGTGTGGCTCAAGTGGTAGAGCACCTGCTTAGCAAGCCCAAGGCTCTGAGTTCAATCCCCAATACTACCACCACCAAAAATAAAAGTTGGTCAGAAATGCCCACAATTATCTAGTGGGCCATTTGAATAATTTATAGCCACTGTCTTTAATGACAAACTTCACACTAACTGCTTATCATCCTATGACACTTTAGTGTTTGTATAAAGATATTAAAATCATTTCATTTTCACCTAATTTTTGAATTTCCATTTTATATAAATTTAATTAGTATGTATATAATTTAATAAATATACATATTTTAGGAGTGTGTCTTCCTGATAAGAATACAGAACCACTTTGTAGATCAGTACTCTGGGTCATAGATTGTTAAGTATCAAGGTTATCAAGGTTGTCAGATTCCAGGTAAGATCAGGTGAACTCAATTACATATAGGAAACCCCCCAGAGAGAAAGGATCTTAGCCTTAGGTTAACATTGACAATTAGGAACATCTCCTAAACCAGAAAACCAAAATCCTAGAGAGTAAGATGACTCACACTCCTAGTTAAGGATGGCACTGGAACTCTCTTAGTTTCAGTCCAGTGCTTTTCATAACAAGACCCGTGTTGCCTCTCTATATAGATATAAAAAGAAAATCTAAGAAAACACTAGAAACTCAAATGGCATTGAAAACCATCAAAGTAGAGCCCAAATCTCTGTAGCCTGCAAGATACAGAGACCTATGCTTTCTATACTTACAATAACTCCTGGGTAATAACCTCCAACAGTCACATTCTGGGTCCTAGTGGTTGCAGCAAGGCCCACCGTGAGAATTAACACGGACACAATAAGCAAAGTCACGGTGACATAGATGGAGTTTCTTTTCCTCCGATTGAAGGCTCCTGTAAGCATAGAGAGAAACTAAAATTGCTCATTTCAACCGGGAAAGGGAGTGACTTAAAGAAAAAAAATTACTACAAAGTTGTTTTTTTTTTTTTTCACTACTCGTGGTGGTAAGTGGGGTTATCTCGAGAGAGTGGAATTATGCTGAAGGAATGGAGCTTTTAGATTTTCAGTCATCAACTGCCACTTTTATAATATAAAACTATACTTCTCATTTGAAAATAAACAAAAGAGGAAATCTCACCAGTTACATAAAAACAAAACAAAATTTGTGCTTGTAGCATTCAATAAAAGATATGTCATGCCCACTTAGTAGAATGTTTTTTTAGACCAAATTATAAAGGCGTGTGATGAATGGGAAGTGTTTCTGTGGGATATTAAATGAAAATGTCTTAAAGCCAACATGCAACTAAGACGGTTTTTTTTCATAAGCTAGAGATGATATGAAATTTCATTTTGAGTGTAAATATCAGAACAAAGCCAGGTACTGGGATTTTTTTTTCATTTATTTCTGACATTTGCCACCTCATGTATAAACTTTAAAATGGTGTGTTGGCAAGATTTGTCACATAACAAATGTGTGTAATAAAGTAAGTGTTCAGAGGCCATTAGTCCATAAAGATACATATCGGGGGAGGTAGATGGGAGGGATTATGACTTAAACACATTTAGGCTTGTATGAGGATGACATAAGTATAAATGATAACAAACTTGTTCTCCTACTCAGGGTTTATCAGACAGAATATCACAAACCAATATTTCTTTTTCTCGAAAACAGGCTCATTAAGTCAGAAAAATGGTATCGAGACTCGCTTTTCAATTTATTATTTTTTAAGGAACCAAGCATGGCTTTACACTTTGCAGCATTTCTCTGGCATGGGGAAGGGGCTCTGGTATGGAAAGGGGTCTTCGACAGGAAATACTTTAGGAGAGGTTACCACCTAAGGGCTCTCAGAAAAAATGTAACCAAATGGTGAATGCTAGGAGAGTCCAGTTCCTAGTGGTTGTGTGGAGGGTGGGGAGAATGAAGCAGTGGGGAGCCTGATGATAGGGTCACCTACCTAGGTGATTTGACTGTAATTTATAGCTCTAAAGAGACCCTTGGGGTCTGTCTGTTCATAAGACCCTGTCTTTCTGGGAGGCCTCACTGCAGCCTCTGGAAGCAGTGGCAGAGAGAAGCTGCCCAGGCTGCACCACTGGGAGCGAGGGGAGAGGAAAGGAGGAAGGAGAAGGGGAGAGAGAAAAACTGGTGAGAGAGACCAGGAAGGCCTGATGGTGGTGAGAGGGTGAGAGGGAGCTGTAGCTGGCCTTGTAATCCTCTGCAGATACCCACTCCTGCATAGAATAAAAGTGTTAGGAGTGCCACCCTGGATTAGACCCATCATCCATCTTGTCTTCCCCAGTGAGCTCCAGACTGAAGGCTCCGAGGGAGGTGGGAGGGGCTGGCAGTCTCCCATGATGTCAGCCTCGAAAGTAAGGGACATGACTCATCAGGGTCATTTCTACTAGGGCACTATTCTAAGACTGTTTTGCATTGAAATGTAGAAGCGGTTTGAGCGTTTATAGGGACCCATATACTAAGGCGCCAGGAGAGTTGGGAAATGGGGCTCCTCTGCAGTGAGACCTGAGTCTAGCCTTCATGGGAAAAAAAACAAAAAGGCCCGGAGACACCTGTGACATCAGGGCCCTTTGTGTGAGATGGCTATTAGGGATGTAGAGAACAAGCCTTGATGGCAAACAGATAAGCAAAGTCCAGCAATTGAGATTGCCTGGTTCTGGGAAAGGAGTAGAAGAAGGGTGGGAGTGGAACAAACAGGACTTATTTCTTCAGTTTACTTAAATGTTAGGTATCCTTCCTCTTGATTTTGAGGTACTCTAACAGAGTTTCTAAATCTGGACCCCAATATCTATTGGATGATAGATACTTAGTGAGTCTTCGTTTCTTCCACAGAGGGGCTTTAACATAAACTTACCTCTAATCCTTGTCTTCCTTTTTCCTTTGTCACTCTTGTAGGATCTCTAGCCCTCTCTTGCCCCAACTTGTCAAAAGTAAGAGCCAGGGAAGATGTGGATACACCAAAGTTATCTTAGACAGAAAACATGAAGCCTTACAGACTAAATTGAAGAAGTGCATATGTATGCATGGTTTTTCTAATTTATTTCGCTCCCCTGCTCCTTCCCCACCAACTGACCTTTAATCTTATTCACAGCTCTTGAGTCTTCTTTGCAAACATCACTCTAACTCTTAAAAACACAGAAGTCAGGTCAGAAAAGTGACTCAGCAAACCACATGGTGTCACTCGAAAATCTATTTTTTTTCTCTGCTTTAGAACCTGAATTAAAAATTCAGTCAGTTGAGAAACTCAGACAAAATTTCTACAGCTCCACAGGGACCTTAACTCCAGATAGGATTTGTTTTGAATAAAATTGCTAATAAAACTCTCCCATGGTGAATATTATCAAAGTATATAATATATATGTATGAAAATGTCATAATGAAACACTATTTTGTACAATTAATATATGCTAATAAAAAGAGGAAAAAAGAAAACTCTGCCATCACTAGGTTGAATATCTATTTTCTGTCCTCTTGTGCTCCCCCAGTCAGTCACTCCTTATTATATACTATAAGGACCAAAATTGTGTAAAATAAAATTAATTTTAGTTGTACCTGAGGAGTTGACTATTTTAAGGAACTCCTGGGTGAATGCTTTTGAAATGAAGAATCACCCCTCAATTTGTCTTCAGGGTCAATTTGACTTAAGTCCTTGGTTTTCTGAAGGTATTGCCAAGGATCCTAAAAGGCAACTTAGGGCCTTTGTCTGCTTAGGACATTTTCCTGGTGGTTGTTTCATCTTAGTGAAGAGCCCTGTTCTTATTAGGGTATAATTAAGGGCTTACCTTAGATGTTCCTGTGGACAAAGGACCATCTTATTCAGGTTTTGTTTAGTAAATCAACACATCAAAAAAACTCCGACCACATGAGCTACTTAAAAGTGGAGGCAGGTACTTGAAAACAGTGCCTATCATTGTGTCTGGTACCTAGTAAGTAGTTGGTACTTGTTGAATAACAATAATCATAGTCAGAATTGTTTGCCTCCTAATTTAAAAGGCTATAGGAGGAATTGTGTGAATAAATATTGACTATGCTGATAGAATTGACTTTTTAAATAAGGGTACACCTGAGTGCTCCCCAGAACCTAAAGCCTTCTGGCCAACTAGTGCCACAACCAGTATCTCTCACTATCCCATCTACTTAGTGTCTAGCATATTTCTGTTTAAACAACAACTTCCACAATGAACAGCAGTGAGTGTCTGAAATCTGGCATCGGCATTGCCTGCCCACCCCCAGCAGCCTCCCTGCAGATCTACTGCAGCCCTCCTTCTCTGCAGTGCCCCACCTCCATCTCAGAATCCTGATGACCAAGAGGCTCTGCTCCAGAGGCATCCAATTATTTGCTGTCTCCACCCTTCCAAATTAACCAGCTTCTCTGTCCTCTGGGTTCCCCCTCACAATCAAATCCCCACCCCAAAGCCTAGCTTTGAATCAGAATTCCTCCCTTCAATTGAAACCTGCTCAAAACTCACTTCTCCCACGATTTTTTTTTCTTGATCAAGCTCACCCTGCTTTAACTACTCATTATTTCAGGTTCCCAATTTCCTAGATACTTACTCAATAAGCATATTAATTATAATTGCTATAATTACAATTGTAACTGTTGGTCTGGTCCACAACCCATATGATGTCCACCAGTGCCAGAATTATGTATCTGACAGGAGCCAAGGTGTGGTTTGCTAGAAGACAAGTTGTTGTCTCTTCTCACTTGTGTTTTACTTTGTTCATGTTCTTGATTATTCCCTCCAAAGACAGTAGGTAGGATGTGCACCTTTTGAGGGGGTGCAGCAAAAATGGAGGCCTGGTATACTGTTTTGTACACTGTGTTCTTAATGACTGGGAATTCTCAGGGCTGATCTTTTGAACCTATTGAGATTTCCTTACCTGAGTCAGCTTTGTCACACAGAGAGGATCCCAGGAAGTCTCAGCCTTGAGTATCCGTGGAAACACGTGGCTGCCCACACAAGATCTCAAGGCCCTGCAATCTCCCAAACACTTCCTTAAAGGTGTTGAAATCCACCACTACCACCTCTTTAGTCAATTCTTTGAAAACATCCAAGACCAGGGAGGGAAAGAATACCCTGCTGTAGTAAAGGGACCTTAGCGCCTGGAGGCGCTGTTGCCAAAATGGAGAGGGGGGTGTTGGGAGAGGATGGAAGGCCCAGGTGTCAAATTACCCTCTTTGTTTGCCAATGGCCTGCTAGGTTCTGAGCCCTGGACTAACTGCTTATCCCCAGGCAGCCAGCAAACATAGAGTGCAGGCACCTTGGTGCAGTGTGTGTGCGTTAAATTTTATTGTTTGGCTGTGGATGTATCTTGCCTGCAAAGGGATTATGCTGCCGTTGGAGGCTGAAACACAAACCCACCAACCCACGCTGCTTTTCCCCTTCCCTGAATACAGGAGAAGGTGGAGTTGTCAGAACTGAGTTAAGTGGAAGTAGCTCCTTAGTATCTTAGACGTTGATTGAGGCCTGGGCTGTGCGGGACCAGCGCCAGAAAACTCCGAGGAGACTCCCCAGTCCAAACTGTGAAAATCCGGGTTTACCACTCCACTCAGGAATTTGCTAGTGCCATTGGCCTACAGACTTTAAGAGGCAGAATGTGTGTGTATATGAGATCTATGATTCCTTTCCCTCAGTGTCGAGCCTGGGCTGGATGAAGCCCACTCAACTTCTTGTTGCATAGACCTTTCCAGAAACGCAAGATTAGCTGAGGGCCCCTGGGAGCCCAAGAAAGAACTCTCTTCATCTTGTTTCACAACCCACAGAGCAGTGTCAAGTAGCAACTCTTTAAGCCCTGGACCTCCAATCGGCCCACTCCCGGCAGTCAGACCGCCTGAAATGAGATAGAGAGGCTTGGTGTGCAAGTGGTTGTCACCCGCAGCAAAAATGGGAGCTGCGCAACTCTTGCACTCTTCCACCAGCTCTTCTTCGCGCAACAGCTTGGCATCGCGGAGCCAGTGCTGTGTTGGCGCCACAGCTGGCCAAGGTGAGGAATGCATTCTGTGTGTGCTCATGGGGGCAGAGGAGGAGGAGGAGGAGAGGCGCGCGCGTGTGTGTGTGTGTGTGTGTGTGTGTGTGAAAGAGAGAGATTGAGAGAGAGAGAGAAAGAACTGGTGGGGTAGGGAGCGTGTGTGAGTGTGGTACTGCTGGGCTTTGGATTCGGATCCGAGTCCTTGGCCTCATTTGTACCCCATTGCAAAAACAAAAACAAAAACAAAACTACGTCCTTAAAATGAGAAGAGGAAATCTTACACTGAGTATGCAAAACCATTGAAAATACGGATCTTTCCCACATCCGGGTGATAACACTTTCTGGGGCCCCTTTCGTGAACGAATTTTGTTGAAAGGCAGTCTTTTGCAGGCAGTAGGGAGCTCATAGAGGGTAGTAAATCTTCTCTCTGCTCCTCCCCTAGAGATGTTCCCGCAAATTCATTGTAGAAGACCCGAGCGGAATTCGGGACGGAGGCGTTCTTCAGAATGTAAAGTATGTTGGAAAGAGAGAATTCGATTGGTTGAATCGTATCCGAGGTGAATTTTAAGATTTGGTGGGATCATGGTTCAACAATCTCCTCCCGCTCTCCTGGGCTCCAAATTAATTTCTCCGCCCAGTGAAATCATAGGGCTTGGGAAGGTGCCTAACAGCTGAAGGGGACTGGATTTGTTTTTTTGGTTTTTGTTTTGTTTGTAACTAACGAAAAGCAGCTTTGAGGGGCAGCCAAGTTGGTGCGTAAAGGTAGCAGTCTCGTTTTCATGAGGAAAGGTGTCAAAAGGTGCCCCTCCCCCTCCATTCACCAGGAAAGGAAAAGCGCGACTTCAGAAGATGCGCGGGCTACGGCTTGATCTTCTTTCTAGAGCTCTCACTCATCCCCCCGTCCGCCCCCCCCGCCCCAACACCTTTTTTTTTCCCACATTCACTCACATTCCGTCCATTTAAAGAAGAAAAGGAATCAAATTCAAGGAATGTTGATCCTGCTGGTGCAGATGACAGGGCTGGGATGTCTTGAGTGATTCCTCAGGAATTCCCCTCCTTCCAACCCCCTCCTTTCTTTCCCACCCCTCCACCCCCTAGGGTTGCGCAAACCCCCCACCAGTGCAAACCAGTGCAAATCGTCCTCCCCCCCCCCCAACTCCGAATATCAGGGCAGCTTCAAGAGAGTTGGAAAGGGGCGAGGACCCTGCTTCTAATTATCATTAGTCTTGAGCTCTTAGAAGTGATGAGGACTTTGCAAAGAGTGAGCTTTGAATAGAAAGCGAAGGCGCAGGTTGAAAGGGAAGTGTTTTGATCACCAGACAGCTGGGATTTACCTCTGGCTATAAGTCTGTAGACACACGCACGCATCCACACTCCAGGGCAGGGATACTCGGACGCAAGCTTGGCGCTCCAATCCCTGCGAGTCGCCCCCACCGCAGCCCGGCCGCTCCCCTGGGACGCTGATCCACCACCCAGAAGCTGGGGCGCATGGACCCCCTAGCCCGGCTTCCCGGTCTCTGGCTCTTGGGGCGGCCAGGAGCTTGCCATTCAGAAGGCAGTACACTCACCCCTTGCTGCCGCCAGGAGGAAGGGCGGCTAGACTTACCCATGGAATCCGGCAGGGACATGTCGCTGGACCGCTGCTGAGTCAGGGACTGATGCATAGTGAAAGCTGCTGGGATGCCCCAGTCCCAGAAGCTGCTTCAAGCACCCCAGGCTCAGGGCGTTCCGCAGAGCATCCTACTCTGCCGCTGCCTCTCCCTGTCCCTCAGAGAGCTGAGAGAGACTGCCTCTGTTTGAGAGCTGCAACCGAAGTGCCGCCTCCTGCTCCCTTTCCCTCTTCTCCCTCCCTCCGCTCCTGGAGGACGCAGCATTGGCGGTCGGTGCAGCTTCGTGCGCCTGCGCAAGACCCCCCCTTCTTTCTCCCCCCTCTGCCTCCCCATCCTAGTTATCCACCTCCCAGCCTCCCAAGCCAGACAGTGAGCTGTGTTAGCCCCTTGGAGCCAGGGCTGCGTACAAAAAGAGGGAGGCTTCATCCTGTGGCCGACCCACCTACTCTGTAATTTGGAGAGATGGTCTGGGAAAATCATCCTGTTCTAAGATTTATAATTGGGTAAGGGGACAGAGTCAGAGGAACACACACACACACACACACACACACACACACACACACACACACACACTTGTGCAGGTCTGGTCTTAGCGCTTCTAGAATGACATAATGGAGCTGGAGATGATCCAAAGGAGGGCCACTCTATAATCAAGAGAATAGTGGAGGGATGCTGCCTTATGAAGATAGATTAAACAAATGCAGACTCTTTAATCTAGAACGATGAAGACTGGAAAGGGATGTGACCAGAGTGTATAAAATTATGCAGAGACACAGAGAGAGCATAGCTTTATTCACCAGATCTGAGACTTCTAGAACCAACAGCCCCCCAATACCTAGAAGGAGATTCAACTAAAACAAATATGACTGTAGCAGCACCCCAGTTTGTATTTTTTGTGCTTTTATATCACGGAATTCATTTTCTCATCATAGCAGCCATGCAAGGGAGAAAGAGGAATTATGAATAATCCCATTTTATAGATGAAGAAACTGAATTTCAGATGAAAATCTGTTACCACTAAGCTATTAAGCAGTAGAAGTGAGATTCAAACCTAGATCTGCTGGACATCCAGGTCAGTGCTCTTCTTGCAATGACAACTGCTTCCATGTCCTGCCCTCCCTGCCAAAACCCAAGCCAAGTATAAAATTCTCCTGAGAATCAATGGGATGAAGAATACTTGCTTATTTCCAGATCTGTCTTGCTAATCTCCTACAAAGCTTTGTTTCCTTATTTAAGAAATGCAACTGAAGGTTCTTACCCTTTCCCATCTTCCAAAGGAAAAAAAACGATGCTTCCTGAAGGTTAAAAAAGAAGCGCTTTGTAATGAATTTGGGCACTCCAGGGGTCAGGTTGGATGTTGTGTCAGGTATTATTAACAGCCCTATACTATAGATGTGGTTCAGGGATCTGTGGTAATTGTCCCAGATAGAGACAAGATGCCCACTCTTGTGCAGTGCATGTCTTAAGCATGCTTGGGGTATGTGTCAGAGTCTCCACAAGCTCTTACAAAAGCAGAGGGATATCCTACATTTACAGTCTTGCAATGATTGTCTCTCAGTACTGTTTATCTCTTCCTCCTCCCACTCTAAATATCTCATATTTAATGTGAAGAATTCCTGTAACCAGCATTGACTTCTCAGGAGTGCTTCATAATTAGCTTATTTTGCTTCTATCAAAGTAGCCTTGAGGAAAAGAGGTTTTCATACAGTCTAGAAAAGACTTTAACACCCTCTTTAAAGAGATGCTTGGCTTCCCTATAGCAACCATACAGCTGGAGATCCTGAAAGAAGCAAATAGAAACTTGTTCCTATACTATGCTGGTTTCAGTGGACAGAATGAAGCCTTTTCACTTTACAAAGAAACACGCTACCCAACAAATGATGCAGAGGGCATATGTAATTGATTTTTATAATTTTTATAATTGATTTTTATAATAGTAAGGAGCCCTTAATGGGGGTGAACCTTGCTTTCTGCAACATCTGTATTCTTGAGTCATGCTGGTGGTTTATGCCCGTAATCCTAGCAACTCAGAAGGCAGAGATCAGGAGGATCACGGTTTGAAGTTAGCCTGGGCAAATAGTTTGTGAGACCCTATCTCGAAAAAAACCCATCACAAAAAAGGGCTTGTGGAGTGGCTCATAAAAAGACCTACTAGAGGCACTGGCCATTTAAAAACCCTGTGCACCGTATATTTCCTTCATACTGTCTCTTGGGGTGCCTTATAGCACTTGGAACACAGCAGGCACTCAGTCAAGTTAAAAATGACTTTCAGACAGCAGTGACCATAGCAGCAGCTGTGGTAGTTCGGAGAGTAGTAGCGGTTTTCTCCCCAGAGACAATGTATTAGTCTGGATCTGGGAAAGGGAGGGACTAGAATGAGAACTAGGGGAAAAGAACATATTTCAACCATGCCCGATACCTAAACCATTTTTTTCTTCAAAAGTGTATTTTATTTCAGAATGAGCTGGAGAGTTAAAAAGCAAAAGGTAATTTTTCATGGATTCCATTCTGATATTCTTCATGTCAAAACACTTGCAGGGGCTAGGAGCATGGTTCATGTGATAGACCATCTGCCTAGCAAGCATGAGCCCCCAAATTCAAACCCCAGAACCACAAAAAAATAGATTTTATACACAAATAGGATCATAGTAAAATTTGCCAGTAGGCAAGCCACCAAGATGAAGGAACAGGGTCTTTTATGCAAGTGAAGGCTACTATAAAACTTCTTGGTTAGCTTCTGATAACAAAGAAATCATTAAAATGGCTTAAAATAAATTCTTTTCATTGCAAGCTTAATCAAGCATACAGTGTTGCCCTAGGTTGCAAACTGTTTTATAGCAGCAGAACACATTTGCCAATGGGGATGCAGCCTACTTCTGTGTTCTTCAAACCACTGATGATGGCCTTTCCCAGAAGCCTTCAGACCATTAGAAAAATGTTGGATGGCACTCTGTCTCTAACACATTCACTCTGGAAAAACCATAACACTCAAACACCTCCTTATTTTGATGATCAACTTGGCTAGTTAAATTACTGTAGTACTTTCCAGATTCCAAAATGTGAATGTGGACTAAAGGGATCACTTCTACAAATATACTCACACATATACACAAGTGCATATTTAAAACGGTGGACATTGAACCAATGTGGGTTGCAATACACATGTGCATGGAAGCGATGCTAGGAATCTCTCTGTATAGCTATCTTTATCCCAAACTAGCAAAAACGCTGTCTTTCTTATTATCTCTTATGTTTTCTCTTCAACAAAATCAGAGAAGAGGGCAGAACAGATTTAGCCTAGAAGCGGGGGATTTGGGAGTGAGTGTGGTGGTGGTGGGGAGATGGCACAAACAATATATACACATGTAAGTAAATGTAAAAGTGATAAAATAAAAAGAGAAAGGAAAAAATAAAATGGTGGGCATACAAATATTCACATCATATACATACATGTACACACATGTATATACACATACCTGCACATACACAAGCCAAATGTCCAAACATTCATAATTGAGGTCTCAGTTGTGTGACAATGTGAGGTCAGTGCCTACTATTCAGTGTCTGCACCACAAAGGTCTGAATTATCACTGAGGAGAACCATGGTTGAGGGTGTTATTTCACCCATGAAACTTGACTTTTTCCCATTGTCAGCTGGTCATTTTCCTTGGGTACCAGGAAAAAAAGCATAGCACCTGGGAACAGCATGATACTTGTTTCTACTTTGTTATTCCTTTATATTCTGTGACCTATTTTAGTTACCAAACACTGTTTTCGAATACCAATAAGAAAACTTTGATAATGTGATTTTAAGTGGGTGGAATTTCTTTTCTTACCACTTCATTGTTAGTGGACATTTTTCAACACTGTAAATAAGACAATAAACTAAATCTTTGAATCTTTTTTTAACATAGGATAACAATGCTACAGCAGAATTACTGATTCAAAAGTTCCAAACTACATGTTACTAACTGAATTTCATGAGCATGTATATAGTAAAGTGTACATACAGATGAATTTTCACAAACACACACACACACACATATCCTTTTATTTGTTAAGCAGTTTAAGTTTTATTGACCTCCCAGTTTTTTTTTAAAAAGTTAAATTTAAGGTCACACTTCTAAATTTGATGTACTATATACAGATTGTGCAGAATATGAGTATGAAAAGAAAATAATTAGTCCATGCCCAAAAAGATTTACTACAATACAGAATCATCTTCATAAATACATATAAAATTCTTATGAAGATAGAGGGAACTGTCCAGGTTTTCTAAGACACTTTCCAAAGTAATTCAGGGTACAAAATATACACCATTGTGAATACACACATTCTAGACCTACACATATATCCTTGCAACCACCAGCCAGATAAAGATATTGAACCCTTCCAGCATCCCAGATGGCTTCCTTGAGCTCCTTTCCTTCCCAGTTACTGTTTAAGAGATTACCACTAATCTGATGTTTGTCATTAAACCCAAGTATTTTTAAAACTTTGAATATATATTGTCAAATTGTCCTCCACAATATTTTTAGTAAAGCGTATTTTAACTTTCAGCATGTGAAAGTGTCTGAGTCCCCACATACTCTGGACTTTCCATTGAAAAGGAGATGTTTTTGCACAGAAAACATGCCTAGTTTCAGTCAGCAATAGTCAAGAAGCCTGGCTGGAGTTCAACTGGGCACAAGGCTTCCAGTAGAAACCAGAAGTCTAGGATCCAAAGGTGAAGGCAGTTCCAGCAGGCAGACAGACAACAGTGTGTCACAGTCCACAAGTACCTTAGAAACCTTCAACTGCTCATGTTTTCATTGTCTTCGTTATTGTTCTCTGCTGAACATACCCAGTCTTCCTTATATTTAGCTTTCAATTTTTCTATTGTGATCACTTATGTCTGGTACATATTTGGAATTTAACACATGACACTTTTTGTTGAACACATGACACTTTTTACTTGCTTCTTTATTCTGATTATTGAAATAAAACATGACACTATAAAGGTGCCAAAAACTGCAGAGGTACCTGATGTAGCAAATTGCTCCCTCACAATTTTACTCTTCAGAGATAACAATAGTTTATAGATTGGATTGCACTTTTCCAGAATTTTTCTCCATGCATACTTTTGTTTGCTTATTTTGAGTTAAATATCCTTTTTAAAAAGTAAACTTTCAAAATATCATAATAGAAAATATTGTATTAATCTTTCTAAGTTATATTTAGTAGCTTTCAAATGCACCACATCAAATTCCAT